GCTATGCTCTTCCTCTCCTGTTCCTCTCCTCTGCTCTTCCTCTCCTTCCAATAACAATGTTTGTGTGCACGATTTCTTTCATGTTATGGAAATCTCTCACAAAGCTTTCTGTATTTTATATTCAATATTTTCATCCCATCTGTGGAATTTAGTGCACTAGCTGACTTTTTCTCTACTTCAAAAGGAGAACAGCAAGCATGGTAGGCAAAATAAGGCCTTTTTTGAGCTGCTATATACTATACAGTCCCTATCGATTTTTTGTGGAATATGTCAAATAGTTTGGGAATTCCCTGCCCTCTGCATCTGCTGGCAATTTCTTTGCCCTCTCTGAGAAAGGCGTTCGTTTTGCCATCACACGTACGAGGTTCACTATCAGAGTCGGTCATTCTAGTTGGCCATAATGCAGGATCGCTGAAATTAAGTGTGTGATCAGTCTCCGATCCACCCTGCTCATACTCTCCAACGGGGCAGCGGGCCCCTCCTGCATCACTCTGTCACCTGACTGCAACTGGCTCTCTCTCCTCTCTGTCTCATCCTGTCTGACGGAGCTTCCAAACTCAACTGCTTCTGTCGGAGATAACGTGTTGTGTCAGGCTTATATACGAGCTAATGGACGTTAACATTAGAGCTGGCCTGTTAGGTTACGTTACAAGTGCTATAATGATATATAACAAATATATACAGTGTAAGGCGGCTAAGGTGGCTTCTTCCATGTACTCACTTTCAAAAGAAGTCATCATACGTATTGAAATCCTCATGTTTTTGTGTTGCTGAACGAGCTAGCCACCGTTGTGACAATGTGGGACAACCATCGCATTCGACCAGGTGGAAACGGACACCCTAATTATCACGGAAAACCATGTCTGATGTACAATGTACCTGAGCTCTGGGGATTAAGTACAATAACTCCATCATCACTGGATAGATCTACAAGAGGCTGGCCTGATTATAAAAGATTACGGCCAAGTGTTTAAAACAGACATAAAGGAAAACATACCTTTTTACTCTCCTCTCCAAAACTTAGCCAACTTTCTTCTTCTTCTTGTTCTGTGGTGGAAGTTTGTTGGTGAAGAGCAAGGAGGATTTTTCAAAACTATTTACGTTTACTTACTGAGTATTGTATGATCATTGTTTGTTATATTAGTTAGTTTATAGTTTAAAGTCCGTTTAGTGGTTTTGTGTGTTTTTCGCGCTGGAACGAGAGCTGAAACAGTTCGGTAAGTTTACGAGTGGTTTTCGCACTGTTGCTTTGGGATGCAAAGATGTAAAATTAAAGCATGTTCAGTCTCTGCGGAGACAAGTTTTTATGTTTCTTGACTTGTCAACTCAGACACTGGATGTGTCTTTCCGTGTTCGACACGAGGAGAGGTTTTATATGGTGTACGCGAGCTCTGGGAGCATGAAGTGTTTTGAGTGTGGTAATGTGGGCCATAAACGTATTGCATGTCCGCACAGACAGCACACAGCGGGACCCGCTGAGGCTGACAGTGGCGAGAGGAGCGGCGAGACCTTTGACCACCTGGTGGTGTCCTGTCCCCGATTGGTAGATGTTTTTAAAATGCTGCAGGAGTGGGTGGGGGGCTTGGGAGAGGTTTTCTCTGTTCCCCTCTTTGTCTTTGGACCAAAATACACACCCAAGAAAAGGCAAACTTTGGTTTTAATCAATTTTATTTTTGCAAGTGCCAAACTAGCGATCTGGAAAAGCCGAAAAAACAAACTGCTTGAAAAAGGCTGGACAGACCCAGTACGCTGTCTGAGGGGTTTAGTGGCGGCCCGTCTGAGGGTAGAACACACATATTTCAGACTAACCAACAACCTGGATGGTTTTAAAGCTGTGTGTTAGGCAGGTCGTGTGCTCACTGGGGGAGGATGGCTCTTTGGTTTTACATTTTTAGAATGATGGTTGTTCTATAGTGTTTTGTGAGATTAGTTCTGCATCATTTGAAATAAGTATTTAAGGGTTTTTTCAGAATGTTGTTTAAATAAAGTTACTTGAAAGTCAAAGTCTTCTTCTTCTTCTTCTTCTTCTTCACGTCTTTCGGGTCTGGTCCCACAGGACTGGTCCATCCCTCAGGTCGGGTCCCCCTAGTGGCCTGGCGCACTTCCGTTTTGTTGAGTGAATTTGCAGCGTTTCTCTCTGGCAGTTTTGGGGTTTTGTGGGTTTGTAAGTTTGTGCTTCTGCTTCGTTTCTGTGATTGCAACATTTTTCTGTTACTGCGTTTTTCTGTTGGATTTGTTTTATGTGTTTGTGTGTTTTTGGATTTGCATCATTCCCGTGTTTGAAGCAGTTTGCGGTGCGTTTGCCCTTGTCGGCCACCGTACGAGTCATTATTGCCACCTTGTGACCAAACTCTGCAACAACATGTTACTACGCAGCTCACTTAAAAAATCTGCTTCACATTTTACTTATTTCACAACAATGTTACACTCAAAAGAAAACAAAGAACACATTAGACAACTTTGAGAACTATCTTACACCAGTAGAACATTATATTTAAATGAATGAACTACACAGCTACTTGAGTAATGAGTGTTTTGAGTTTCTCTTTATTTCTGTGAGTGAATGTATGTATGTATATTATTATTATGTAATTTAGTGTTTAACATGGTATATTTTTGTTATTCTTTTTGTAGAAAACCCACACTCATCACTGTAAGCTCCAACTGTTATGCCTGTGTGTTGCTGATAAGGAAAGGAAAGAAAACTGAAAGCATATCAACTTCTCTAAGCCTTTAATTACCCCACATACTCTGAATTGTGGCCTCAAGTGGTGTTCTAGCCTACTCACTGGCATCAACCTGGTGATAAACCTTAAACTAGTGCCCAGTCTGATTTAGTAGTTACCAGTATTAACTTAGGTATGTAAATAATTTTATGTCCATCTTGTGCAGGTAAATACAGGTATTATGCCATTATCAATGTCCAGATGGATCATATTTATGATTCTACAGACTTACAACAACCAATCTGGACCAAAATACTTCTTTATTTGTCACTTTAGCATTAACAGGCAATGCCTTTGAATATTGACTTAGATTATGTAGCTACTTCATTTTGTCCTCTGCCATTCTTGCCAGGTTCTCCTCAGGAACATAGTTCTTCTGATCATTTAATAGCCACATTTTGAGTTGACCATTGTAATGCTGTGCAACAAACCATAATAATAAACACGACAAATAAAAAAGCACTATTATACGGAAGCCGAGAACAGCCATGGATTTTTATTTTTTTATGCACTGTTATCTCGTGATAACGAATTATTACTTTGTTATCTCGAGATAACAAAGTTTGTTTTCTCGAGATAACAAATTAATTATTTTGTTATCGCGACATAACAAAGATCGTTTTCTTGTGATAACGAATTAATTAATAATGTGTTCGTCTTGACTTCAAACTTATGCGCTGCCACGAACGGCTTCCGTAGCCACTGGCTGTAGTTGTAGCCTACCAGTAAGTTACACTTTACGTTAGTTTGTTTACTTGACTGGGGTTGTTTAGGGGCTACCGGTTAGCAGATGAGAGGCTGACTAAGTCCTATCTATCCGGCTGCTTCACGAGATAAGATAATTTTCAGTTTCAATATGAGTAGTAAATACTGTCATTATCTTCTTCATGACAGCTTATGAAAATAACAGGGTGTTCCAATATTCCCTGACAACTAGATAGCACTCATGTTCATACAGGCAGGATATCGTGCAACTTATTTATTTATTGACTATATTATGGTATTGATTACACATATAAAGATTATTACTGATTACATGTTTAAAATATACCACAGCACACCAACACATACTGTATAGCAGTGGTTCCCAACCTGGGGGTCGAGAGGCCTTCTTGATCTTAAAGGGTGTAAGAAAATAGAAAAAATAAATGCAGTAGGCCTATATATGATGGAAACCAAACAAAATGATTTATAAATGTAGATTTTTATTTAAGATATAAACCTTGAAGACCTGAACACAAGTTTTATTCACAGAGCCTTCACTCTCTGATAAACAGCCTCGCTCTGCTTTAGAAAAGTCTGCAGTTAAAACAACCAAAGCTGATAGAACAATAAGAAGAAAACACTATTAAGTCTGTATGATTGTTCAAAAATAAAAAAGACATAGAACAGACAGAGAATTGTATAAAAAATGATCAGAAAAACTCATCTCAGATGCTGTATAGTTACAAACTTTGATGAGATGAGACATAGTTTGGAGATGGAAAGTTGTGTAATGTGACCAAGGCTTAAGAAACTTTAGGATTTCAGGCTCAGGTAGTCTCTAATTGATGAATTTAAATTACAATTTATAGAATAAATAATTATTATAATAGTAATATAATGGATACATTAATACTCAAATAATTGCCTACTTTAAAACAAACGTGCTAATGAAGGCCAGACCTGAGCCATATCTCCATGTGAAATTATGAAAATTCATCCTGTAAACATTTCCTGCTACTTTCTATAAAAGGCCTTCAGTTAATTCTTTTATTATTATTATTGTTCTTTTGCAGAAATCTTATTTGTGCATTTCATTCTTATTATGACAGAAACTGGTCATTTCACTTCCTGTCATTTAAAAGCAGCAAACACTAAAAAATCAATAAGCAAGTTTAAATGTATTGTCTGCAGTGAAATCATACATTGGAGATAAACAATATATCTTGGTGGAGATTAGAAATGACAGAACGTTTATATAACTGGAAAGTTCCAGTGATACAGATACAGAAGAGGTTTCATTGTTGGATTTGAAGGCACAAAACACAATCACAAAGAGCTTTATTTGACACAAAGCCACAGTTTAGAACAAATTCCATTCAAGCAAACACCCGAATAAGGAAATCTTCATAGTACGACCAATGCTGACACCTGTTCCCAGGACTTGTACCCCCACACCTGACAGACCAGCGGTAACCCCGGTGTCCGCTGCCAGACCGACTTTAGCTTGTGCTTCCAAAACGCCCAATTCAGCATGAGCATAACCCAGTCCTGCAGTAGCGTACATTCCTGTTTTTGGAAAACGCTTTCCAGGTTTATTCTCAAATCCATCTTCAAACGAACCCGATCCCGAATAAGCACCAGCAGCAAAGGCTTTACCAGGCCGGTCAAAGTTATCGATCATCTTCAACAGTGCTTCGTCCCTAACACACACCTCTTTACCCACATTTTCAAGTGCTTCGGCTGAAAACAAAGAGAGAACACATTTTAATTTGCCTCGGAGATTTCATCTATATTTTGAAAATCTAAACAAATTAGAAATATATACTATTAAAGATTTTTATTTTGAGAAAAAGCTTGTTAAATATTCAAGAATTTCATGTCAAAAGTCATAAAGCATCAGACTTTGAACCAGTTCCACACAAATATCAGTACACAGAAGAACGTTTTGAGCTAACAATGTCAGAAGTTATCAAGCCTGATTGTTTCAATGCCAAAAACCCCTCTTAATATTGAGGTAGTGATGTGTCAGACAATATTTTCTTATTGCTGAAACATATATTAAAATACAACTTAAGATGTCCCTTAGTCTCATAACTAAAATTTCTTCAAAACATCAACTCTTCAGTGCCAAAATCCAATCAAAACCAATATCCAGCTGGAGTGAAAATTAAGAAAGTAATAAACTTACCCTCGTCGTCTGGGTTTGGAAGAAAGAAAAGGGAAACATTGTTATTTGCTAATATAGACAAGTTATTTTGTTTTCTTTTTAATATCCACAAAAGTCAGATGAAACATAAATTCCCAATTAAACAGTGATAAACTTTTTGTACTAGCAAATTGTACACATGAACATACACTAGATACACAGGTTTATATATGTATAAGTTTGGGCATTTTGTTTTCCTCCTGTGAGATCTGTCCGCTCTTTAAGGTTTATTAAAAGGCAATCTGTCTCCTCAGTAGTCCTCACTATATTATATTAATTAGAGGACACTATACACTGCTGCACAAAGGATATTATTCTTACTATGATGATGTTTGCCCACCTGACATCTTCAGGACAAGTAGTTTATTCTGAAAGACAAACAGGAAATGTCAGCAGTGGATTAATTTCTCAGTGGAAACTGCTTCGAGTGGAATAAAATTAACTGTGGTAATATAAATATCCTGTATAGGTCCATAGCAAGTTATTATATTATACATTGTTCATCAATGATCAGTCAGCATAATCATGTTATTAGAGTCTTGTCAGTTAAGGAATATTAAAATATGAAAGATACACTTTTGTTTGCACTATAAATGATTTCACTTACCTGAATCAGGTTGCTTGGGTTATAGATGGCAAACGTCGGATGCACTCAGCTTAACTGTTGTAAGTACAGCCCACTGTGGTCCATATATACCAGACTGAAAACAAAACTAAAAGTATGAAATAGCTCAGAACAGTGGCACAGGAAAGGGGATGTTATGGACACATTTCCTCCGAGGTCACAAAAACAAAGTATAGAGAAAGTTACTAAAGTAAAGAAAGAAAGCAAATAGTCACTATAGGACTCCTCAACACATCATGTATGGTCTATATTTAACCAGAATCAGAATTAGGTTTATTGCCAAGTAAGTTTTTACATCTACAGTAAAATATATAAAATAATAGTTTTTAAACCATACAGTGAAAATACAAAGAAATACAGTTGCTCTACTTTTGTGTTAGTGGTGAGATTAACACAATACTGGAGACAAGGCTACGTTCACACTGCAAGCCTTAACACTCAGTTCTCTTTTATTACTCAGATCTGATGTTTTTGTTTTATTTACCTGGTCAAATTTTCTTTTTATAGATATTTTGGGGCTTTTTTATGCTTTTATTTTGCTGTATTTCTACTTTTACTTGATGAAAACATTGTGGTGGAGAGGAATCAGCAGCAGACACAAGTTCTTCTGTAGAACAGACCTTTTATTATGAGTCACAAAAGCCGAGTTAGGGCGTTTTCACACATACCTCATTTGGTCCGTACTTTCGGACTTTTCAGTTTGGTCTGAACCAAAATTGTAGGTGAGAAAGGTGCCACGGACAACGGTCCTGATCACAAGACCAAAATTTGGTCCGAACTAAAGAGGTGGTCTCGGTCCGGATCAAACTGAACCATGGTTCGGTTCGTTTACAGTATGAAAACACTTTTTGGATGGTTCGGACTTTCGGACCAATTACAGGAAGTTAGGCATACGTACCATAGAAGAAGAAGAAAAAAACCGGAAGAAAACCCCGCCAGAACAAGCAAAAATGAGTCGTGGAAGTACGTGGGGAGAGGAGGAGATTATATGTTTATGTTGATAGTAATACCATAAAGGGAGACGATCTTGATCTGATTCTTGATCTTAAAGGGTGTAAGAAAATAGAAAAAATAAATGCAGTAGGCCTATATATGATGGAAACCAAACAAAATGATTTATAAATGTAGATTTTTATTTAAGATATAAACCTTGAAGACCTGAACAAAAGTTTTATTCACAGAACCTTCACTCTCTGATAAACAGCCTCGTCCTCCTTTAGAAAAGTCTGCAGTTAAAACAACCAAAGAGCTGATAGAACAATAAGAAGAAAACACTATTAAGTCTATGATTGTTAAAAAAGAAAAAAGACATAAAACAGACAGAGAATTGTATAAAAAATGATCAGGAAAACTCATCTCAGATGCTGTATAGTACTTCTTCTACCAGTGAAAACATTGAAGTAAAAGATGAAATAATTTTGAAAGCTAGGAACAGTTGTTTTCATAGAGAAAGTGAAGGGTCAGAGGTTACAGTAGTGTCTGTCCTCATCGCCGCTGATTTCGTCTACAGACAGGGAGGTGTAGTCTTCACATTTGGCACACTTCTCATAGGTGGGAAACTGAAAGAAAAGTACCTTTACTGAGGGGACACAGAGTACACGTACAAATACAATCGACAGTCCAACATTCAGGACCTGGAGGATCCAGACTCAACTAGTGAGGTAAAGAAAGTCACCTCCAGGTTTCTGTCATCGGACTGCCCCCTGGTGCTCAAACCTGTGCAGCACAAAGTACAAAACCAGTGATTTGATTCCCCTTTTTAATGAAATAAACAGTCACAGACAGAACAGATGAGAGGTGGAGGGCAACTCACTCGTCTTTCCTTTGTAGAGGAGCAACACGACAACAGCGAACAGCACGGCCGCAGTGACACATACTACGAGAGGCAGGGTGCGACCTGAGCGAGAGGAGAACATCGCATTGAACTGTGGACGTAACAATAATAAACGTCTCCTATAAAAAACACATTTATACAAACTAATTTCGGTTATTATTTCTACAGAAGCCCAGTATGGACAAAACCAAACACTGGCTCTAGATAAGGTGCTGTACTTTTCCCCCCCAAGTTTACGAAGTTAGTTGCAAAGTGCAGCTTCACTGCTAGATGCCATTAATCCTACAGACTGGCCCTTTAAACCCAGAGACCAAGAGAGAGTGTAAACGTAACCAGAACAACGTTTCATCATATGGTAGCTGCTACAAGAACATATGTGCTGGTACAAATAATAATAACAGACATCATTTCCAGGAAAAGGTTTCAAAAAAAGAAATCTTGTTGAAATATGAGTCTCTGTGTATCTAATGCATGCATTGTGTTTTCATATGTTAGTATTTGGTTTGTTGAGGATGAGCTGACAGACAGTTTCAGTAGGTTTGAACCTTTAACGCTGTGGGCTGTAGCTGCAGCTGTCGTTTCCTCCGTCTGCTGCTGTTCAGGATGGTTCAGGGCCTCAGTCTTTGGAGCTGTGGATAAACAACAACATATTGCAAATGACAATGACAATCCCATGCACACATGGATGCTCATACAGTGGGTCATATTTGATTTAAGAGTAAAAAAGTGCAGTTAATCTAAATATATCAGGATATTTAAAACATAAGCAGCTGTGACCTTCAGTCACAAAAAAAAAGACAAAACAAGGAAATGAAACAAGACACCACACAGTTTGATATACAAGCCACCTGTGGATACTCAGTTTTATTTATATATTTTGCTTAAACTAAGACAGATATTGTGACATGACTGACAATTACTGTGGGAATGAGCACTTTGGTATCACAAATTGAATTTTCACACAAAACAAAACAATTAAAATGATTAATATTAAAATGATAATGTAAATCTTTGAGGGGATTTGTACCAAACAAACATGTTTTCTTACATCTGGAGAACAATATTTAAAGACCAGGACGTCTCTGCAGCACTACAGTACTTCATTATAATGCTGTTCTGTCTCATTTTACCTTCATCAACCAACTGCAGCTCTTGTGATTTGCACATTGCACTTGGCCATACTGCAATTTGGATAATATTTTGATTAATTGTGCAGCCCTAAAAACTGCCTCAGGAGAAACTCACCATCTGTAACTCTGATGTCAAACTCCCAGTGTGCATCAGGAAAGAAACGTCTTTCCAAACCACACCTGTACCGTCCGGCGTCAGACTTGGTCAGCTGTGCGATGCTCACATACAGAACCGTAGAAGACACTGGAAAAGTTCCCTCTTTATACAGAATGCTGTATCTGCCGCTCTGAGCGCTGTCGCCTGCCGTTTCAACCAGAATGTTTTCCTTATCACACTCGTCCTTACAGAGGAACTTTCTTCTTCCAAACACACTGAAGTGGCAGGCGACTATGATGCTTTCTCCTTCAGTGCGAGTGAGCGTTTCTGCATCGACCAGCCCGCTGTTCCCATCACACAATGCTGCTGAGAAGAAGGAAAACAGCTAATACGAACGATCAGGACGTTATGGATTGCAGAGTTACTTTAAAAGAGACGGCAGGTTAATGACAGTTAATCCATCACAAACAGACAAACAGAGATGAGACAGAGGCAGCCATTAGTGAGTTTAATGTGTAACTAAACCCCCAAATTCTGCTCGCCCCCTCCTAGCTTACACATTTTGAAATAAAATGCAGCAGAGGACGACACAGGAGAATCCTGTAGGCTTCAAATTTCTATATCATACTTAATGATGTCACAAATTATGCTCATAGGCCCCGCCTCTTAAAAAATCTGGTTTTCAGTGAGCTCAGAGAAACTTTCCACTCTCAGCAGATGAATGTGAAAACATCCTTCTAGAGTCAAACTCTTCACAGTGAAGACCAAACATCCAACAGGGTTCCCACACTTTTTTAGAAAATCATTTTCCAGGACATTTTCCAGGACATTTTCCAGGCATTCTTCTCACAAACAGTCTTATAATTCACCGGTAGGCATCGTAGGGGGTCAGCGTTTATGAGGCACTCAGACGATATTCCTCTAGTTCAAATCAAGTAGAATTTATTTTAAACCACAACAACAAATGTGATCTTTAATAGGCTGTCTGCATGTAGATATTACCGTCTACAGGATGTCCATTCGCGTCTGGTATTACTGGTTTTACATGTGCGATCTGAGTGAGGGGCTAAAATACAATTAAAAGATTTCCAGGACAACATTGATTATTTCCAAGATATTTGGTCATTTTAATCAATTTCCAGGTGTTTCCATGACTGGAGAACTGGTCTCTCAATGTCCAGGTATTCCAGGATACGTGGGAACCCTGATCCAACCGTGCTATATAAAGTTATTATTATTGTTATTATTAGTTGTGCTTTCGAGCTGCGGAGGAGGGACAGGAACACAAAGAGGGACTTTCCTAGTACCTTTGGTATAAATTAACTTTAACTGTCAACTTTGGAACTGTGAATTTTACTGGCTGGTATAAACAGCATGAATGACTACAGCAGGAAAACCTGTTGCATTGTTAATATGAGCACCTGACTACTGTTTTAATACAGACCTGCAAAAATGTGAACCTATCCTTTAATTAATGTTCCTACTGTAACACATCACGATGAACAATAAGTCATTTTTTGACAGATTACATTAAACCGTGGAGACAATGCAGCAGCGACGTGTTATATAAGATAAACATCCACAATCAACACTTTCAACATTTGTACAGTACGGAGAAACAAACTCAAACTTCCTCACCTGATAAGAAGCAGAAGAACAGAACATGGTTGATATTCATTCTGAATTTAATCCTGATGAAGAACAATCTGCCTCTATCCCGTCAATCCTTCCAGCCTCCGTCTGTCTGATCAATCAGGAAGCTGCTCGATGTGATTCCTTGTGGTTTAAACACTTCGTTCATACACCTACAGGATGACGACAATGGGATGGTTGCTGCCCTGTTTAGTTCTATTTATTATTATTATTGCCTTTATCTTATATTATTGTTAGATATTTTATTCCATTTGATTTGTTTGTGTTTGTTTTAATCCTTCCTCAACCACTTAAAGTAAGTTGAAGTTTGTTTTGAAAAGTATAATAAAGGTTTTTGTGTTATTGTATAATATATTATATATATATATTTTATTTTTAGTGGACAAAGATAAGTTTAGTGGATACCTTGTGTTTGTTTGGAAGCTTTGGTGTATTAAATTATGATCTGTACAGGCTGTTACGACAAACTCGATCGGCGCCGTGATCTAAAAAGAAATCAAACAGATATCAGGTGTGTCTGTCACAGGACTCACTTCCTTATTGTGGTGCTCCAACAGAGAGATGTGGACAGGATGGAGAAGCTTTATTTATACACCAAAACTATGAGAACTGGGCCTGCTCTGAGCAAACTGCTAAAAGTGACATTTATTGTAAAGTGAAAGTCATTTATATACTTTTATTCATACTCACAAAGAGTTCCTATAACTTAGCATTCTGCTTATAACAGATACTTTATTACTACATCATCCCAGCAACCTGCAGTGTAACTACCCTCTGCAACCGCTCATTGACACCCTGAGTGGGGGCTACGCCTCGGCCAAACTTTGCTCTTTTGTTCGTTTCAGACCAACCTCCTGTGCTTCAGGATCACCGCCTGCCTCCCGCTTCCCCTCTCACTTCTGCTGCACTCCACCAATAAAGCTTCATCCTGCACGTCTCAATGAATCAGGTGCAAATAGTTGATCTTACTCAATACGATTCACTTTGCAGAATCTGAATATCAAACTTAGAAATACTATCTAGACCCTGTTGTGTGTGTGTTTTTAGCCCATATTAGTTTAAATTATGATCAATCTGTGTCATGACACAAAATATACACCATAAAAGACTTTATTGAAACTTAGATGTATGTAAGAAAATATACACTATAAAAAGCATTAAATCTTTTGCGTCTGGTTGCGTCACTTCAGTTGTTTGTGTGTGTTCAGATTTGACTGAAGAATGAAAACATGCTGATATCTGAATACTGTAATCGATTACTCCTCCAGTGAACTGTACACGTTGTGATCACTGCTGCACGGATCAAGTTCTTGGTAGACTGGTTCTTCATGTGTGGACACTGCACAACAGTCGTCATAGATGGAAATCTGAAAAACAAACAGTGTTTTTACCGAAAAGTGACGGGCAATGATACTTGAAATGCAGTGGTAGCCGTGGTAACAGCTCAGAGTCACCTCCATGTTTCTCTCAGTTCCCCTGGTGTTCACATCTGTGCAACATAAAGCACAAAAGAGGTGTTTTCCTTGTTTGTAGTTCTGTTTGTGAGGATTTTAAGCACAGATAAAGGCAGAAAGGCAACTCACAGTCAACATTTGTTGTCTTCCATTTGTGGACGAGTAGTAAACAAACGACCAACAGCACGATAACCACAATCGAATAAACAACCGGACGCAACCTGACACCTAGTTGAGAGACGTGAGAGATTATAATAACTGAACAAACAATGACAGATCACAACTGGAGAGGGATTCATTTTCTCAGGTTGCTTTTACTCTGAACCTCCAAAGACACGCAGGAACATTTTCATCAGCTCACCTCCTGTCACTGTGATCTCAAACTTCTGGCATTCATTTACACCCAGTCTTCCCACGCCGCACTGGTACCGCCCTGAGTCAGACTTGGTCAGCTGTGTGATGGTCACTTTAAACATATTGCTCCCGTATATGATGATGTATTTGTCACTCATAGCTTCCACGTTATTGGTGTCAATGAGAAAAGTGTTACATTCCTCCGTACAGAAGAACTTCCTGTTTAGCTGCTGTGAAAACAAGTGGCACGTGATTGTGATGTTTCCTCCCTCGGTCGCGCTGTGGACTCTGGGCTCGCCCAAGATAGCTCTATCACATATTTCTGGTAGGAAAGATGAAGAGTGAAAACTAAATTATTGACTGATTAATCAGTAATGGAAGTATATGAGAGTAACAAGGAAGGAAGATGTGAATTTTGTTATAATAATTCATTTAAAGTTCAACTGTTTTTCACTTGCTTTAATGTTCATGGTTTCCATTTTGTGAACACTTTGATTTTCAGTGTTTTAAAACGTCTTTATTAACATCATAACTGAGCCGCCACTACACTGAGGAATCTCTGAAATATTTTTAAAAATTAATTAAATTAACATATAAACCTATTAAAATACTACAATTCCAATTAAAATACTTAAACTATGAGAACTTAAATTTAATTTAAAACAAGTTTATCCTTTGATTATCAGCCAGCTACACAGTCATATTCATGCACGTAGCGTGCGCATACACCTGTGATTAGTTATGTGTTAAAATGTGACGATGAGACAGTGAGCAGAGAGATAATTAATGGTTCAAAAACACTGCAATCGTGGCTCCAAACAGGAACTTTATGATATAAAACAATTAGAAATATATATTATATATGGTCTGTGATCTAACGCCATGTAGGTGGATTCGGCTATGCTCTGCTGCTGACCAGCGGCGTGCACGGGGGGGCAATTGTTGAAAATCGCGTGCTAAAGTGCCCTCTTGGTTGGCAAAATACACTAAATTACCCTCTTGGGTGAAAAAAACACTCAACTGCCCTCTTCTAAGTTCTATTATTAGGTAGAGATGCCTATTGCATGTTTAAGGAGGAGCTACCTCACTACGTCTTGTGGGAATAGCTAGTAAAGTTAAAAGTTGGTTTATACCTCAAACACTTGAGACTTGACTTACACTTGTGTTTAAAGACTTGAGACTTGATTCATCCCTGCCACCTGCAGCAATGGAGCAGCACTTATTCTCATGCTTCATCATAGTTTGTTTCTTTTGAGTTGTCAGATAAATAGTTTAAATGTGTATTGTTCCCTGTGTGATTTTATCACAGAGCCCTCTTGGGTGAAGAAAATACATTAAACTTATTAGGACCAAGAAATACTATGACACATTACTGTTGCAATGACTTTTATGTTGGGCCCTTTGTTGATCTATATTGAGCCAGAACTATATATATCTCACAGAAGCAGTTTGGATTATCTGGTGCTAATATGGTGTTAAAATGCACTAGAATACAGGAAATGGAATCTACTTAATTGAAAATGTTCTGGGGGAAGACCCCCAGACCCCCTAGGGATTTATTTCCTTCGTACATCCAGTCTAACTTTGAAATGCACACAGTTCTCGTGGATGCTGATCCTAACAGCAAACTAACCTGAATAGTCTGTCTAGTTAGTCTGTTTTAAGGCTATATAATGTGCCATTTGTATAACATATAAAATGTGTCTAAAGTGCCCTCTACAGTGGCGAGGACGCACTATATGTGCCCTTTTTTTCTTTCTGCCCCTGCCCTTCAAAAAGCCTGTGCATGCCACTGCTGCTGACGTAGAAAAACCAGCAGCCCTCTGCAGCTCTTTGGAAACAGGAAGTTTTTTCTCTTGCTGCTAAAAAAGCAAAAGGGTAAAAGGGCGACTGTGTTGGTTCCTCTCCGCGGCAGAAATTAGTCACTTATATTAGTCACCGCAGTGTGTTGTTGAAAATAAACTTCCATGGAAGTATATGATTAGCTCCTCAGCAGCTGTACTGAGGTCAGTTACTTAAAGGTCCAGTGTGTCACATTATGGAGGCTCTATTGGCAGAAAGGGAATATAATATTCATGTGTTTGTTAACTTAGAATGAGAAGTTTTTATCTAAAGAGGGAGGCAGCCGTATTGAACCACCATCTTTCTACAGAAGCCCAGAGTTTTTTGCGACCACCGTAGTTTCTCATACACACTTTACAGCCGTTTCTCACTCACAGGTCATCAAACACATTGACCAACGCTGTTCAGCCACCACCAAATGCAACTTAAACCTACACACTGGTCCTTTAAGAACTTAATTTAAGAACACATCATAAATTATAAAGTTATAATCTGTTTTTCTGTAGCCTATAATCTCAAATCTTCAAAAATATTTGATGGTTGAATAACAGACAACCACAAAATGTTAACCATTAACAAGCCTTATAATTTAATATCAAAATTCAAATGGCAATGTCTGTGTTGATCACCAGTTTTAGAATATACACGTCGCTGTATAAAATGTTGGGATTGTATGCCATGTTCACAATCAATCATCAACTTACCTTTAACTTTAATCTCGAACCTGTACGGACCGAGTGATGACCCACTCACACCGACCGTGTACAACCCCGCGTCAGACTGGGTCAGCCCCAAGATGACCACCACCACTTTATTCTCAGCCCTGTCGTATCTAATGGTGTATCTGCCACTCACAGCTCTGTTCCCGCTTGTTTCCACGACGACGTCTTCCTTTTTGCAGTCATTCCTACACAGGTACATCCTGCTTCCTGTCGGGGCCTGAAAGGCGAATGAATTTCTGAAATCTTCGCCTTTCATTTTTTTAAAAAGTTGGGATTGATCGAGTCCAGCGCCTCCGTCAAATAGTGCTGCTCAAATAAAGAACAAGAACAGTTCAGACGCTGATAGATTTCAGACTTAGTGAAGGCAGTGGTGGTTTCAGGTTGAACTATCAGGATTCTAGCAGGTTTATTAGCAGTATTATATCCAGGAATGCACGGTGTGGATTATTCTTCGGCAGCAAAAACTGCATAATTGCATTTTTGTATTTTAAAAAGAAGTTGAAAGCCTGCAGAGTATGAACTCTTGAGGGTAAGAAATGATAAGATGTATCTCTGTTCTAACCAAATCTAACTGACATCACAACAGCAAACAACAAACAACATCTCTGACTCTGCAAATGTTCATTTATTTAAGTTAATTAAAACACACACTTTTACAAAATATAAAGCCTATCAATCGTTTCTCATAAGAAGTCCAAATAAATTATCATTAATATCAACCAATAATTCATAATTCATAATAATATAATCAGCCGATAATTTATCTGACCTGAAAATTATCGTGCATTATATATTTTTGACTATCACTGTCAGACCACTGCCCAACCCTGATACAGCAACCACCAACACCAACACACCAACCACCAAAAGAAGTGTGTTCTGCAGCATTAAAGAAAAAGCCAGTCTGACCTGATGAGAAGCAGAAGAACAGGAAATGATGGATGTTCATTTTCATTTGAAAACAAATAAAAAATCATTAAACTCCAGGAGAACTGACCGACTTTCTCCGTCTGTCTGAAGTTTAAAGTTCCTCAATAAACAACTTTCAAACATGCTCCCTCCACTCTCGCTCCCCCTCATTCTTAGAACTGAACTCTTACTCAACATCTCGATTTCGTAAGCATTTTAAAAAAAACCCTCTGTGGCTTCCTCTTAACAGTTATTATTATTGTAAATAGTGACACACCTTACATGTAGTTGTACATGTACCTGGACAAACACTAATATCTCAGTTCTTTAAATGATCCTTTCCCCTGACATCCTCAAACTTCTCTCCCAGACTGATATCCCATTCATACATTCAACATCCTGTTTCAGAAACACATCAGATAAAAAAAAAAACGGTGATACTAAAAGTTAACCAACACATATTTTAGCTCTAGCACCATCTCTGTTCTCCGTCTGAGCCACACTTTTCACCCTGTATTTTTAACGTAAAGGAAACGTAGAACGAAGAAGGGAAACAGGAAGTGGTTGATCTTTTTTGGGTACAGGGGGCAATTCTGCAAAAAAATAAAAAAGAACTGTGTGTTTCCTCTTGTCAGCAGCAAATTGTGACTTTTTATATTTAAAGAAACTGAAGTGTGTTTGGCACCAGTTGCCGTCAGTCTCAATCCCGTAGTGAGTGACTGGTTTTTACTCAGTGGACTGGCACCCCGGTTGACCTTCATGGTTCCCAGGTGACTTTGGTGATCCTGTGACGTTTCCTCTGCGCAGCAGCATGAGGTTGGGATTTGTGATTTCGAGTGAAATGTTAAATAAATGAATGATAATGATTTGGTATACACACGTCCCTCCTCAGGATGAACTGGAGTATTGCACTTTGGTGATTGTTTGACTTTTCATCAAGCGCTCTCCTCACTAGGTCACAATGTAAGTTTGTGTCAAATACCACAGGGACCCTGAGAGCTCACTGACACTTCATAAAATACATGCAAACAATCTTCAACAATTTGACAATGTGAGCTCTCAGGGCCACCGTACAATCAGGGGATTTTGGTGGCACAAGAGGAGCACCAACTTATGTCCCAATTCCCAATGTATGCAATTCCAACAGTGTTTATTGACCATACGCATGTGGTATATTATTATACCACATGCAAAAGAACAGCATGGGAGTAGTAGAAACTGTCTGCAAAAGGGAGACTTGTTGATACCCATAAAATCCATTTTCATTCAGATATGTTGACTTCAGAGGTCAGGGAATCCCTTTCAAATGCCTTGAACATTTTTTTCCATCGCCAATATTTCGCCCAATTTTGCAACGTTATCTCGACATGCTAGCATGATGATGTTGGTACCTTGGTTCAAGTATTTCGAATGTATCCCCCTACGGCCTCTGCTTTTGAAATCTGCCGCCTTCAGCTTGTCAACTGTGGCGATATGAAGCTCTAGGAAACTAACGACCAACAGTTTTTTCTATTTTCTGATATTTTTAACAGAAAAAAGATAAATCGAGAAAATAATGAGATTTTACTCTGCTTATATTTGTAAAGGAACTTAGTCCCACTCGTTATCGTTCAGCGTAAAGTAAATCAGATGAAGGAAGAACCAAACACACTTCTGAGCTTTATATAAAAAAGTGTCCATTCAGCAACTATACACATCCTGTGGGAGTGTAGAGTAGATCTGGTCCTGATCCCTGCTGGCAAAGTCGAGACTCTGGTAGGTGGAGTCTTCACATCGGGAGAGGGGACCCAAGTTTTCATAGGTGGCAAACTAATGAAAAAACAAAACCTTTATCAATATGACAATATACATACAAAACAGATGATAAGGGATAAAGGGTGTAGCCTGTCTGATACAGAATTTCTGTGCCGATACGATATTAATATTTAAGGTTTTAAGATATCTGACCACACATTTTTTTTCTTTTTATAACACATAACAGAAACAAGCACTTTTAAAGAGGATCCAATAAATGTATTGGTTTTTTTCATGAATTGTGAGCAAGGTGAGATATTTTACAGTTGGAAAAATAAAAATAAACTCACCTCCATGTTTCTGCTGTCTGTTTCCTCATTGTTCAAACCTGAGGAACAGAGACGACAACCAAAGTCAGACTAAAGTCAAGAAAGAAATTCAACACTAATAATAATTAATAATTTGGTTGTGTGTATTATAATGGAGTGCAGATAAGGTTGAGAAGTCACCATCTGTTTCCTTCTTGGACCTCCATTTGTAAAGCATCTGTAGGAGAAAAACAGCCAACTGTGCAACACAAACCAGTGTCACACATATGACGACAACCAGCGAGTAATCTGAGCGAGAGACATAAGAGCAACACAAGAGTGGGGAAGAAGAGAGAGAGAAGTTGTGTTAAAGGGTTAAAAAGACCTATGCAATGCAGAGAAGTCTGAATAATGCTTTGTAGATTGTCCATTTAACATCATGACATCCTCTGAATGTCAAATTAAATGCAAACTTTTGTCTTTTTAAAACAGAAATATTTTTTTAAATGAATGTGTATATCAGAATATATCAGAATAAATAGAGGGAGACGTGTAGAGAAGGCTGTGTGTTATTTGAGGTTTGACATTAAAGTTACCTCTTTAATCTCATGAGGAGATTAAAGAGGTACTTGAGTGTCCGGGTGAATATCTTCTGTGTCGCCAAGTTAAAAAATATGCATAAATAAAGAGTTTATCTGTGATTTACTGATAAATAAATAAATAGAGTTTTTTTAGGGGGCTCTATTGGCAGAAATGAAATATAATATTCATAGTGTTTTCATTATGTTACTGGTGACGATCACATTTTTAAGCGGGTATACAGTAAATCCCCCTGCCCAGAGGCGTGTATACGCTCTATCAGTGTATACCCAACACCACCTCTGCTGCTAGCTGATGAAGGACAGCTGGTATCTTAGCCACACTAATGTTACTGATGTTAGCTTCGGTCATTTGGCCCGACTCATTGGTAGCTTAGGCCTGCATCCTCTGCGCTGTATCTGTACCTGTAGCTGTTGTTTCCTCAGTCGACTGCTGCTCATGCTGCTTTCTGGTTGTAGGAAAAGTGGTAAAAGCTGTGAGAAGTGCAGTGAAAATGATGATTTGTTATTTAATGGAAGACAAACAAATTGTATCAACTGTAACTATAGTGACTGTGTTTGGCTCAGTTTGTGTGAAAGCAGAACTATTGCCTCGACATCATCGTGCTGTAATCTCACTAGTTGACACCACAAATACCAGTCTGTTAAACGAATCATCATATTTCATTAATGTACAACTGAGAGGACCCTCGGTAGTAGCGAGACGTGCTACAGCTAACTAACATAAAGTGTGCAATACCTGCAACGATACTTCCTGTGACCTCGCCGAGCGGCAGCTGAGCTGTAAAGAAAAGGAAGTGTAATGGAAATAATGATAATATGCCTTTTTCTGAAGAACTGTGGCAATATTTCACCGTAGTGTAGTAACAACCTTTAAAGGTCCAGTGTGAAACATTGAGGAGAATCTATCGGCTGCAATGCTTTATAACATGCATGTCCTTTAAAAAACCTCCTCCCTTTTTCCTGCTGAAACTCACCTTTAGAAACTCAATATCAATATCTGCCGATAGACCCACACTGGACCTTTAAATGTGGGGTTTGTGATTCTGGATTTCAGTAGAGATTTGCTTGCAGAGATGCTGAGACATAGCGTATTAGCATGCTGACGTTATAGCACCACTGTGCCAGGTACAGCCTCACAGAGTAAGTGCCAAGAGGGCAAAGTAGAATAGAAATGTTTTCTTTTTTTTAACGTTATATAGACATTATATCACAATTTTAGACAACCTCACAACATTGGTAACGAGTCCTACATCCTAAGAAACAGCTTTCTCTCACTAAGACTGCAAATAAAAATGGCTTTGTAGACACAATCAACACTTCAAACTTGGCAATTAAATTAAAATCATTTGAAAACTGTTGACACCAGAACAAAATGAAATAACCAAGCCAGTGTGTGCTGCAGCATTGACGTCGAGGTAATCAGTCCTCACCTGGTAAGAAGCAGAAGAACAGAACATGGTGGATATTCATTCTGAATTAGATCCTGAGGACGACTGCCTCTGTCGTTTCTCTCTCTCTCTCTCTTTCGGTGTCCGTCTGTGTGATGAATTAAGAAGTAGAATAAAGAAGAAGTTGAAGTTTCTCAGTTTAATAAGTGATGCAACTTCAACTTATTCCCTTTTCTCTTTTTGTGTATCTGTGGTTTTAGTTCCCCCTATTACACAATAATGATGATGAGGTTGGATGTCTAATATCAGTTTTACATTTACAGAGTGGCAGTAAAAACTTGAAAATATACACAGTAGGCTTATATCTTAGCATCTCATTCATTTATGTGAAGATAACTGAATGAAACTGTTATTTTTAAAGTTTTTATTATTATTTAAGATCTAAACTTCAAAGACCTGAACAGAAGCTATATTCACAGAGCCTTCAGTCTCTACTAAACAACCAAAGAGCTAATAGAACAATGAGAAGAAAGCAATGAGTTTGTCAAAAAAGGAAGTAAAATATCAAGAAAACTAATCTCTGCTGCAGTATTCACACATAAATAGTCCTTGTCTCCCTTTGTCTTTGTCAGTTTGTCTTGTTCAGTTGGTAGAAAGAGTATCGTCAAGTGTTCAGGTTATTTCATGTTTCAGTTGAAGTTTGTGTTGATTTGTTGATCCTCCTTGAGAGCGCCTTTTGTTTGAATTATATTTTGGATAAATAAATATCATTTTTGCTACATCTTTGTCTGTCTGTCCCAGAGTCGTGCATTTGAGTCCACTCATATTGTGTCAGAGGTTGTGACAATGTCCTGTAAAACCAAAACCGTGAGCTAAAAGAGGCTAAAAGCTCAGCGTGGCCGCGGATTTGATTGATAATGATTTGCAACTTCATATTGCAGCCTTTCAAATAAGTATGAATGTACAAAACAAAACAAGCAGGTTTCATAAAGCATTGACGAGGTCTGTGGTAACCTTTGACGTGGGTCACTCAAAAGTGGAGAACTTGAACGTGTGAACAGAGAGAGAGCGTTAATGTTCCCACACTCAGCTGTATCATTAATAGTTGTGACATTCGAGGACTGTTTGTGCAACAGGTCAGAGAAAGAAGAACAAAGTAGAAAGGCACTGGATGTCAGATGCCAGAGTGAGGGAGGATAGACACAGTTCTCCTGCAGTTTAAGGATTTCTCTCCATCTGTATCACATTCAGAATGAATATCCATCATGTTCTCTTTTTCTGCTTTTTATCAGGTGAGGACTGATTACTCTGATTACTATTTAGTGATGCAGCACACACAGTTTCTTCTCTTTATTCGTGCATACATGTATACATACATTAGAATTGTTTTATTGTTATTATTATTATTATTGTCATTATTATTATAATTATTAATATCATGACTTTTATGTTCACATTTATGTATCCAACTGTTAATAAATTGCAGTTTCTGCTCTCAATCCACATACATTTTAGGTTTGGAACTAACAGCAACTAACATACAGGATGTATTTATTGTTTAATTTTGTACAATTACATTAAAATACATAATACTGATTTATTAGTTACATTATAAGGCTTTTAAGTTAAACAACAGAGGTGGCTCAAAGCCAAATAATTCTGCTACAGCTACTTCTTCTTTCCCACAGCTACAGTGCAGTAGTTATCCCGTAGAGCATACATCCTATTTTGTATCTGTTTTCCAACTGCCTTCTTAAACCAGAAGACAACAAATGTTGAAGATGACTAATTTTCACTTCTGCACACAAAAAAGAGACAACATTATTATTTTAAGTTACATAACAAAGGTAGTGTAGGGATTTAGTATAAACATTACTCATCTTGAAACTTTTGTTAAACTATGATTGAAGTATTGACTGATGGCCGAGCCTGGCCTATCTACATTTTACCGCTATCAGTGTATGTTATCTTATATAGCTATAGCAATATCATTTTTCTTCTTCTGGTATGTAATGCAAAAGTTTGTACTTCCGAGTTGGGGGAAGTGCTGCTGTGTGAGTTCATGACTGTCATGCTGCATCATAAATATAAACAGTAAAATACGTTTCTGAAACTATTCTAAGAGAGAAATAGTCAACACAGTAACAGAATCTGGATCCATATCTGATCAGCACTGTTTGACAGTTTGATCTGAGTTTGGTGCGTTGAGCTGGACGGACTCACTGAGAATGAGCTGTCAATCACAAGGTCTACAATGCAAGAAGTGTCACTATTCATCCATCGTTCATCTTTTCAGGTTCACTGTGTGATGAAGACGATGGTTCTCCAAGGCACATTCGAGGTACTGAGGGAGAAAGTATCAGCGTCGGATTCTCCTTTCCGTTAGTGGAAATCGGCAGGAAGTTCTTATGTAGGGCAGAATGCAAAGAGGAGGATGTTCTCGTTGAAACGCGTGGGTTTGAAAAGCAGAAAGGCAGGTACGGCCTCAAATATGAGAGAAACTCACAGCTGTTGTATGTGAGCATCGCACAGCTGAGGAAGTCTGACGCGGGATGGTACAGGTGTGGAGTGAGAAGACCTTTACTTCCAGATTCATATGAAGAATTTGAAGTCAGCATTACAGACTGTGAGTTTCTCCTGGAAGTCATGAAGCTGTTTCTGCATGTCTGTGGACGATTTCACTGACAGCTGATGTTTTAAAGAGGAAGATATATAGTCTGCTTTTACTTACTGTGTACTATAAATTCTCAAATAAGATAAGATATACCTTTATTAATCCCCCATAGGAGAAATATTGAACCCGACCTTAACCCGTACCTGAACTGTAGAGAACTTTATCTGAAACTGGCTTATAAACAGACCTTTATTGCTAATTTTTTCTGTGTTATCATTGTATTTTAACACTTCTTCTGTTAACATATATTCAATTTCCAAACCACTAATTTCCTCATTACAACATCTGAAAATTGTGGCAACACACACTGCGCGACTATGTGTACTACAATGAACACTGAGGACTTGTTGAGCTGCTGCAGAAGTATTCTTTATGTTTATTATTGAGTTTAGTTATTCTTCAGAAAGAGAGAGAGAGAGAGAGAGAGAGAGAGAGAGAGAAGCACAGGCAACACCTGTGTTATAGTAACTTGATTTGTCTCTTATGTTTTCATTTTGTGTTTTTGTCGTTCACAGTTCCGATCACTACCCCTGAAACCAGCAAGGAGTCTGCAAGTACAGTCAGCAGTTACCGTGTTTGTCTCCTTAATCCTTAATAAAATTCAAATACAACAACGTTATTGTCCAAAATGTCTGTTTCAACTAATATTATCATGACAGAAGCACGTAGAGGATTTTATATAATGTTTGCAGGATGCTAGACATCTTTTTATTAAACAATCCATCTATGTCTCACAAGAATGAGTCAGTTCTTTGATGTCCTTTATTTGATCAGGTTCGAGTCCTCCTGTCCTCCTGGTGTTGGGTGTGTGTGTACCTGTGGTAGTGGTGGCTGTGCTGTTGGCTGTTGTTCTGCTGTTCCTCCACAAAAAGAAGACGAGGGGAATCTTGGAGTGCACCAAGACTGAGGTGACTTTCTTCAACTCATCTGTCTTGCTTTACTCTCGCTGTCTGCTGTTAAGATGGCTGCTGCTGCACTGGGGGAAGAAAGAAAACAAAGCAGTCAAGTGTATTTGCAGTTTTCAAAACATGTTCTGTGAATCTCACCCAACAGCCCTGACAACCAACTAATGATAGAGCAAGTGATAAATAAATACAAGTGTAACATTTAGGAGGATCTATTGTCAGAAATGGAATATAATATTCATAAGTATGTTTTTTATTAGTGTATAATTACCTCAAAACAACAATGGTTGTGTATTCATTACCAGAATGGGCCAATTTGATCTTATTGTTATTGCCATGTTGAACTGCTATGTTTCTACAGTAGCACAGAATGGACAAACCAAACACCGGATCTAGATTGAGCCTTTTTGGTTTTGCACTTTTCGAAGCTACTGTAGTTTCTCCTTTGCATTTTGGAAGGGGAGGGTGAGGTGTGGGCAATGCAATCTACCACTACACTGCTAGATGCCACTAATTCTTACACACTGGTCCTTTTAAAATTTGCAATTGTATGTATTTAGTTCTATAAACTTAAAACAAAAAAGAAAAAAAAACTGTACTGAGAATCTTTTTATAAAATTAATAAATTTATAAAACTCTGACTGCAATGTAATTGAGAATTATAACTATAGATATCTCTCTGTCTCTCTCTGTCTCTGTCTGTCTGTCTGTCTGTCTGTCTGTCTGTCTGTCTGTCTCTCTCTCTCTCTCTCTCTCTCTCTCTCTCTCTCTCTCTCTCTCTCTCTCTCTCTCAGTGTGGTTGTGGTTGCTGTTGTAGCTTTCGAGGTTAAAGGTTTACCACAACGTTTATTTTGATCTGTGTTTATGTTAAAGTGTGCTTATTGATCAGTTTACTTCAACATAATGACCTAGTATCACAAAGTCATTATTTTTAGCTGTTATGTCAGTATTTTGAGAAAGTTTCTCATTATAATAACTTACAGATTCTTTTTTTCCATCACATTGGCAGAAATGGGCATCACAAATTAACTTTCTGTACATAAAACCAATCAATATTTTTATATTAATGCTGGTTCTCTGTAATGTAATATCACCAGACTCTGCGGCTCCTCTCAACTTTTCAGAGCTTTCAGTTTTTTGTTTCAGTTTTTCAACCTGCAACCTCACCTCGACCACTCGTCATCCGTTTCCACTAGCAACAGCAGGCAGCTGTTTCCTGAAAAAAAAAAAAAAAAACCCCAACTCGCTGTACATTTCTTCCTCTGCACCGCACAGACACAGTTAGACTAGATTAGCTAGACTACTCGTGAACGCACTGGACAGTTTAGCAACCAAATATTTGGCTAAAAGGAAAGTTAATATTGGACTTATATTCACAAGGGGGATAAATCAAGTTGCTCTGTTCCTGCTAGATGTGTAAATGGGCCAATGAAGTTGCCATAACAACTTTCTTCTGCTAAAACAAAAAAAATCCAATATTACAGCTTAAAATAGCAGCTGTGGAAACTTCACAGAGAACAGCAGCTATAGTGACAATTTTCACAGTGCAAAGAAATATCTAAATGTCTACAGAAAGCTCTCAAACCACATCAGCATAGTCAATACGTCTTATGTATATTTTCACCAAAATACAGCTAAATACACAGCTTCTGTTTCCACCTTTGTGCAAACTTTGTCGCCAATAAACACATTTCCATGCAAGCTGCTGCTGTTTCCGGTGTGCCTCCTTGGTAATGTTACTGATTTTGTTTTCAGAACTTTCCTCCGGTCTCCACATGTGAAGACACCTACCAGAGCCTCGATCTAACCAGCAGGGATAAGGACCAAATCTACTCTACGCTCACACAGACGCAACACAAATGACACAGCAACAGTTGTCTGGTGAATGCACACCAAAGCCATTTTTACCATTTCTTGACTATGCCGATGCCGTGTATCAAAATGCATCCAGAACTAAACTTCTACCCCTCAATGCGGCGTACAGTAATCTCTGTAGGTTTTCTCTTGAATGTTCCTCATTGTATAATTTCTAACTCACTTAAATGGCGCCCATGCAATATAAAGAGACATATTCATTGGCTGCAACTCATCTTTAAATGTCAACTAACCTACAGTTTTCGGTATTATTTATTGGGACATTCTACACCAGTGGTTGCCAACCTGGGGGTCGGGACCCCAACTAGGTTCGCAAGGGCTTCTTAAATGTAATGGGTGTAGGAAAAATATAAAGATACATACACAGTAGGTTTATATCTCAGTGATTCTAAGATTTCTAAGATTTAGATAAACAGCCTAGTCTGCATTAGTAAAGTACAGTTAAAATAACCAAAGTCCGAATAGAATTTGTCAGGCAGGACACCGATTAAGTATGAATGATTGTTAGATAATAAAAAAGTAGACGATACTCAGAGAATTGTATTAAAAAAGGTCCCAAAATTATCAGGAAAGCTAATCTCTGATCAATATTCACAGGAAATAATCTGCTCAGAATTCATCCAAATCACTCGTTTAACACAAACTTCCTGTCATTATTGCTCACTCTTTATCGCTTTGCATCAAATATAATATGAAATATCCATAAAATATGCTGCTTAGTCAGGGGTCGTCAGTGTACTGATAGAAAAGGGATCCCTTAAGGAAAAAGGTTGGGAACCATTGATCTACATCATACAGCTCTCCATTCATACAGTCGGGAAAGCAATGGGAAAGACAGAATTTATGTTCATGGCTCTTTCAGATCTTCAAACATATGACCCTTGACATCCTTTCACATGTTTAAAATTGGTTTGTCTTCTTATCTGCAGATAAATTAGAGTTCAGATGATGCAATACCTGTATATGATACACAAGGCCTTTGGAGCTCATTATTGTTAGCAGCTTTGATCAGTTACCATGTTTTCAACCAAATAATATGTTTCTTAAGTTCTGAAAAAACAGAATTTCTATAAATTGTATTTCGTGTCAGAAAACACTTTGATATCCATTTCTTTCGAACTGAGTGACAAAACCACTTTTAAAAAAAGCAACATTTGTAGTTCCCGTTTCTCATTTCAGAGTAGGAAATGAATTGGACGGAGGTTCACAGATGAATAAAAACTTCAATATCTGGTTCTGCGGCATTGATTTGCATTATTTGGCAAGAAGTGTGACGCTCATTTGGTAGACTTACATAAACAGGAACTTAGCCATGGTACCTCAAACCACAAGCATCTGTCGTTTCGAGGAGGAAGTCTTCAGGCTGCGAGTTTCAGTTTGGACGGAGAGATAGAGGGCTGAACAGTAATAAAGATCTGTTTAAACACTGTCTGCTGTTTACCTCACGATCCTGACAACAAGATATAAAGATTTTGTTTTTCATTCTCACCTAAAATAACGAAACCCCCCTTTGTATTTATTAAATGTTGTTTTAGGTGCCAACCTCGGCTACAACAATTAAAATGTTGGAAGAATGTTGAAGAGAGATGCAGCCAGTTTTAGTCCACCCTCTTGTCAAACTGTGTGTTACATGAATTATATTCTTCCTTGTGTACAAAATTGGATACAGGTTAAACTGGCAGATTTTCATCAGCTGTTTTATGAATAAGACATGTAATAGGACTTCTTAATAGACCGATAATAATAATAAATAATAATACAATTTAATAAGATGGAGACTTTTTGCAGTGGAGATGAAAATATGGCATTAATGTTGCTGTAAGTTACAATCAGACCCAGTTTTTATGTAAAATCACACACAAACTTGCAGGTAATCGACTCTGCAGTGGGGAAAAAACATAATCATGGGGATTGGAGAGGTCTGTGTGTGTGTGGGTGTATGTGCTGTTTGGAGGAGGGACTCCATCATTTAGAGAAGTGAGGAGTTCCTGGTTTTCCAGTGAAGACGGAAGAGAGGCAGCGATAAACCATCAGAGCCTCCAACATGAAAGTCTGTCACATTTTGATCTGCTTCTTCTTCCTCTGTGAGTACACTCTCCTTCTCTATCACTCTGTCTTCCTGCTGTATGATCTTTATTGATTTATTAATTTATTATTGATTTCTTTTAACTTAATTTTAAACGATGTAATCGTGGGAAACTCATTTCTCACCCATTTCTCATGAGTGAACTGATAAACTGTTGTTGGTTTCTGTGGTTAAAAAGGGCCACTTCTCTAAGTACTAAGCTGGCCTACTGTACATGTGTCTGTTGTTCTGCTGTTGTTGTTTTATGTGTAACAAAATGCATTGCAGTTGTTTTTTGTTGTATTTTGAGTGTAACAGAGGAATATGCTATTTCAGCCAGTGGTATTTTAGATGTAAAGTTTCAGTGGGTCACAAATGAAAACGACTGACTACAGCTGCAGATAGTTGAATTACTTAATTGTGGATATTTACATTTTAAGTTTTTTTCTTTTTCTTTTGGAATTCAGAGTCAGAATCGAAGATTATGATGTGTAAAATATTTGATGAAAGAATACAACTAAAATTGTTACCGGTCACAGACTGGTTGAACTGGGCAGCTCCCAGTATGACTCCGTGGATCTGTGTGAATGTCACTGCAACATCTTACAGGAAGGACAGATAGTAACTATTGATTGCTCATCTTTTCAACAGCACTGCAGGATGGAAACATTCGTCTAATCAATGCAGAAATCCTGGTCCATACAGGAAGTGAAGGAGGAAACATCACAGTTGGATGCTCCTTCTCTTTCTCTGGAAGCAGGAAGATCTTCTGTAAGAGAGAATGTGAAGGAAAAGACATTCTCATTGAAACAGATGAGAACAGAGCTCAGAATGGCAGATACAGCATTGAATATAAAGAAGGAACTTTTCCAGCATCGAAAACACTTCTGTATGTGAGCATCACAAAGCTGACTAAGTCTGACTCGGGGCGGTACAGATGTTGGTTGGGCAGAGCTGTGTTAAAAGATGCAACCTATGACTTTGAGCTCAGAGTTGAAGATGGTGAGTTTCTACTGAGAGTCATGAAATGAAGTGTTCACTGACAGCTGCTGATGTTTCTAATAACCCAACATGTTTAGTCTAACAATTATATTTGGAGCTGCATATTTCCATTATTGTGAACACTGATAAATGCTCCTTTAAAAGCAACAGTTCATCTGTAAAATATCTGAAATGTGTTTCACAGCTCCAACCGCTTCAAAACCAAACTGGAAAACCACCACCAAAGCACCTTTTACACCATCAGTCCCATCAGCCTCCACACCGACAACAACACAGAGTTTAAGCTCCAGTTCAGGAAGCTCCACACCTTCATCATCCTCCCCTGAAACCCCCAACCAGCCTGAACAGCAACAGAGAGCTGCAGGTCCAGGTACATTTACAGCATTCAACAAAACCTTGTGTGTGAATATGTATGTACTGTAGGTATGCAAATATATGAATAGGCCATCAGGGTTCACATGGACCTGGACTCAGTTTGTCAAACTAATGGAAATTAAACTTCAGATCAAACATTCACAGGTTTGCAGCTGTATGTGCGTCTGACTCTGGTCGTCATGATCATCGTATTATCAGCGTCTGTGCTGATATTCTGCAGGAAGAGGGCCAGTAAACCCAAAGGTGAGACTGCAGGAAACACACACACACACACACACACACACACACACACACACACACACACACAGACGACAAAGGCAACTAAGCACTTTCCATTTCTCACAAAAAACATCTCCCATCACATGTGAGACAAATATTCTTTTTTAAATATCAAACTTTGGTATGTTTAACACATGATGTGTAATTTGACCTTAAACCTTAAAGTTTCTGCACTGGGGCAAATGTAATGTACCACCATTATAAAAGAGATGTAGGTAAAACTGTTGACAGGACACCCAAACAGCAAACAATATCAGTTATCCCCCTTTGTGTTATGATTTTAAAAGCATGGACATTTTTCTCAGAGCTGTATGTGTCTCTTTGACTAAACCTGCCCGGTTGCATTAACCACCTTCAGTTCAAGGCTTAAGTTTGTTTTGTTTTTATTGTTGTTCTCCTTGAATATGGAAAGCACAAACACATAATCCAAAGCAAATTTAACCACATTTAATGTAAGACAGGGACGGACTGGGACAATAATTCAGGCCGGGAATTTGATACCATCCCATGCCACCACCACCCGATTAACGCGAAACACCAAGAGTGAGTTAGGTTGGGCGCCTACTGATGTAAGAGTGTAAAATAATAAAGCAAAGGCTCCACATGCACCCACACACAGCTTTTTGTTTCTTTCCCCTACAAAATAAATGTTTCTGTTGTGCTGCAATAACCTGTACTCAAATCACATAACTGAAATTATCATCATTTCAGTTATCATTATAATCATAATTTCTATTTTATTTCATTTACTGCTACACTGTTAACGTGCAGGCTGCACATTAACAGTGTAGTAGTAAATGAAATAAACCTAAACTTGAGACCATATACTGATCATCATAAGTGAAGCACAAATTATTCTAAAAGCATAGCCTGCATGTTTGCTTTGTACTTAAATTGTACCTGAAGGTTCCTGCTCTGACTCTTCACTGCTGCTGTCCACCACTGCTATGACAGCAGGAGCTCTTGCAGCACTAGTGCCGGTGCTGACACTGCTTCCTTCTCCACCTTTGTAAAGAAAAATCCAAAAGCCACCCATCATTTCCCAGCTATACAAATTCACTAATTGACAATTTTTATATGCACTGGCTATGTTCATATAACAACAAATATGTTCTTAGTCTCAGTGCGATGTTACCTGGTTAAATAAAGGTTAAATTAAATAATATAATACAAGGATTTCAATATTCATATAATTTATTATGTTGTGTTATGTTAGTTAAGCATATTCTAAAATTTGCAATATCCTTTGTTACAACATTTGTTTTATTAAGTCACTTTTAGCCCATCAGCTTCCACAAAGTGGATCTAACCTCCTCATTAAGCTGGTGGTGCTGGATAGACTATGGTGGTGCATCTGTTGTCACCACTATTGTTTAATGTCTGACTCTGACCTGCTCCCTTACTGACAAACATGTCAGTTATTTTACAGCACTTTGCTGATCTGTGGCCAGTGCTGTTATCTTTTTCAGCCTCTCCCTCTCTGCTCCACCTTTCCTCTTGGGCTGTCGATCTCGCTCCATTTTTCAAGTGTGTAGAACTACAGGTGAGGGAGGAGGGAGGGAGGGGGACGGGGGCGCAACTTGGTGTGTGTGTGTGTGTGTGTGTGTGTGTGTGTGTGTACCTGCAGTGCTGTGACAGAGAGCCTCAGAAAAAGAGAGGAGGGGGGTGTGTTTGTGCTTTTTGCTAAATGAACCGTAGATGAAGTAATGAGAAATATGAAAATACTTATACTAATAAAGTGACACTGACAGGAGTCGACAAAAACTGGTGAGTTTCAGTAAAAATTATATTTGGTTTTTCAGAACCTCCTGTGGAAACTGAGTATGCTAATGTGACAGAGGTGAGTTTGAATACATTTGGGATATTTCAGTGTCATTAGTGTTTGTGACAGCAGCTGATATTAATACAAACAGACCCCTGTTCTCTTCCTGCAGGCCAACAGAGTGTATGAGGAGATCGGAGAGGAGGACAGACAGAGCAGATCTCCTCCTGCAGAAATATCTACAGTTTACACTTACGCCAAATACTCCAAACCAAATGCAGTTGAAACCACAGATGAGTACAGCCTTATCACTGCAGCTGGTCCCCAGAACAAAGTGAGTAAAAACTATGGTCAGATTTTAGGATTTAGGCTTAAAACATATCTACTACTATACATCTACTAATATAACTTGATATGATAATAATTTTTACACATTTCACAAAAGCTGTTTCTCTGTCTCACATCCAAATATGACTGATGTACAATTAACTTTTGGATCCAGGCTTTGTGACGAATAAAATGTTTGTGGCAGAACAGAGAGTTGTCCTCAAAATATGGTTTTAAAAGAACTTTACATCAGTTTATGTATCAGATTTAAAACAAATACTCCAACTTTTACTTAAAATATATAAGATAGATATATAATAAGATATTTAAACTGAGTTGGAGAAAGACCACAGGTTTTAAAGGCCAGCTTTCTATAGTTATAATGCTATTAGTTCAATATTCAACAAAAAATGTTCCATTCATTTTGAGTTCATTAACAAAAGTTTCTATTTATTTTCAGTTTGTTCATCAAGAGAGAAAAGTAACCATAAAATAAAAGCTTCCAGTTGCTATTAAGAGTAAAACAGTCAGTAAGTGATAACCTTTGACCTCTGATTGTTTTCTTCCAGACTGAAGACGACCCGAGTAAACTCACCTACTCTGAGGTGGATTTCTCCAACGGTGCAGCTGCCTCGCTCCACAGCGCCCCCCGTGGTGATGCAGATAACGTGGTCTACTCTGTGCCTCGGGTTGCAGCGAGCAGCCACGCCGAAGACGCTTCCCCTCCTCTGTACTCTACTGTTAGTTTGCATCAGCTGTAGCTCCAACGCTGTCGACGCCACATTGACTCTCTCAGTGGTCAACAGGTGAACACACAGTGGTTTGAAGGACTCACATTCACACACAAATCTGTTTGTTAGCTCCTTTTACTGCTTCTACTTTAAGTTAAGCTTCTCTTAAATATTTTTTTTAAAGATATTAATGTATTATTAAAGTTCAGGTGAAATAAAATATTTAATTTTAACCCTTTCATATTGCATCCTCAGTTATTTTGTACCCTTATTTAACTTTATTTTAATTGACTGAATCAAAATGTTCCCACCAGGAGTTGAAATATGGACATTTTGAATTTGGGGAATGTCAGGAATGGATGCAGCATCCCCACTAACCCCTAATATCATTAAAATATTGTCTTCTGAATTTCAATGTCAGTTATTGTGCCTGCAGAACTGAAGAAATCTGAAGGAATATTACATCTGAACATTGACACCAACGACATTGAGCTCTCTTGATTCTTAAATGCAGGTCCAATATATTAATCTTATAAATAACCTCAGAATTGGTTCAAAGTTCATCAAAATCCACCAACTGAGAGATGAAATATGGCCACCTCTTCTTTAAACACTGTCTACTGTTTACTTTTTACTTTCTTTATTTTTTATTTACAATGATTGTCACTGTGATAAGTTTCATTCAAACCCATCGATCTGTTACATAAACTGAACTTCCTGGATCGTATTAAGTCTCCCTCCCTCCCTGTCACTTGTTTTATGAAATAGGACATATAATAGGACTCAACAATAGACACAAATGATTGAATAAGATGGAGACTTTTTGCAGTGGAGATGAAAATATTGCATTAATGCTGCTGTAAGTTACAATCAGACCCAGTTTTTATGTAAAATCACACATTACATAATAATGAGGGTTGGGGGTTGTGTGTGTGTGTGGGGTGTGGAGAGGTCTGTGTGTGTGTGTGTGTGTGTGTGTGTGTGTGTGCTGTTTGGAGGAGGGACTCCATCATTTAGAGAAGTGAGGAGTTCCTGGTTTGTCAGTGAAGACGGAAGAGAGGCAGCGATAAACCATCAGAGCCTCCAACATGAAAGTCTGTCACACTTTGATCTGCTTCTTCTTCCTCTGTGAGTACTCTCTCCTTCTCTATCACTCTGTCTTCCTGCTGCATTGATTTTTATTGATTTATTATTGATTTATCTTAACTTCATTTTAATCTTTGTAGTTGTGGGAAACTGTTTCTCATGAGTGGACTCTTGATAAACTGTTGTCGGTTTCTGTGGTTAAACATGACAGCCTATTTGGTGAAAAGTACTAAGCCGGCCTATTGTTCATGTGTCTGTTGTTCTGCTGTTCTTGTTTTATATGTAACAAAATGCATTGCAGTTGTTTTTTGTTGTATTTTGAGTCTAACAGAGGAATATGTTCAGCCTGACTGTAGCTGAGTTTGTCGTAGCAAGACAGGAAACTACTTATCTACACCTATTATTATAGAAAGGACCGAAGGAAGGTTGTGAAAGGGGGGAGGGGAGCAAATAGATGCTTTCACTTTTTTTTTCTATGTATTTATTAATATTTACTTTGATAGATGTTTGAGATACCACTCTTGTCTGTGTACTTCAAAAGGTGTAGCCCCACCCCTATATCTTTTATATATCTTCATAAAAACTTTATCAAAGGAAATTAATTATCTAATAGTTTTTTGCAGATAAAATAAATAAATAAAAATCATACAAATTCATCAATTTTGCATCCGCAAGTGTTTTTTTCCCAGAAATGTACACGTAGATTGAACACACAGTTACACATATGACTCATCAACATCTTGACAATTCTGTCCCATTCACACTCTGGATTCAGATCTCAGTTAGGGCCCAGTTGCCACAGGTCAGTGCTGTAGTACTCAGTATGGTCCAGATGTTTTTTTTTTCAGATTTGTCTCAGACTTGTCATTGGTCTCGCCAAATATTCTAGTTGGTCTTGACAAAATAAGATAAGGTAAGATACGATAAGATATACCTTTATTAATCCTCCGTAGGAGAAATTCAAGTTCCACACAGCTGCATTGGGGAATATAATGCAAAAAGAGTACAATCTTATCACGGACAAGAACATTACAAAATATAATAGAAATATAAAACTATAACTGAAAAATATATACACTATAAGTAATAAGCAATGTGCAAGTGCAATGGTGTTCAATTTAAAATATTTTAAGCATCTTGACTATGTGTACATGTGCAATTTAAGATAAATAATACAAGTTTGGTTGAATTTAAAACCAGTCTAAGTCTGCAGGGGTTGGAGGTACTGGGTGCTGTGGTTGAAGAGGTTGGAGGTACTGGGTGCTGTGGTACAATGGTACTGATGGCTGATGGTACAAATGAGCCTCCAAACTGCTTTGAGGCTCGGGGCTGGATCAGTCTGTGGCTGAAAGTGCTCCGGAGCTGCCTGAGCTCAGTGTAGAGAGGATGAGAGGGGTTGTCCATGATGGCTTTCAGCTTCCCTCTCATGCTCTTCTCAGCCACAGCCTCCACACTGTCCAGCTCCATCCCCACCACCGAGCTGGCCTTCATCACCAGCTTGTTCAGCTTGTTGGCACCATAAGTCCCAATGCCTCCTCCCCAGCAAACAACAGCGAAGAAGATGACACTGGCCACTACAGACTGGTAGAACATCTGTAGTAGCCGAGTGCACAAAATCCAACAATATGTTTTATTAAAGTAACTTCCTCCAAGCCATTGATGAAGAGCGCTTCCTCAAAAAAAGGGGTATTGGGGTTTTTAAAACAACTCCCCCCCCGGGGTGAAAAAAAACCACTCTTCTTTCCTCTCCCCCCCCCCCCCCCCCCCCCCCTCTTCTTTTTTTTATAACAACCCCCCCCCCCCCCCGGGGGATTTATTTTTAAAAAAAAAAAAAAAACCCCCCCCCCACCCAAAAAAAAATAATATTAAAATTTTTTTTAAAAATCTCCCAAAAAAAAAAAAAAAAAAAAAAAAAAAAAAAAATTTATATTACAGGATTACAGTTCTATTTCTTTCATTGCATGTGACAGTTTGTTCACATTTTATTCCCCAATGTTTCCACCTACCATCACAGACTACTGGAGACATTTTAATATGGAACTCAAAGAAGCAATTAAATACAATTTTCATGCAACAAATAAGAAGTTTAACCACTTTAATGTACTTTAATCTAATTTGACTCTTTCCAACAGTATCACTTATCTATCAGATTCTCTAGGGTTTTACACTGTACTCAACCAAAGACTGCAGGAGTTTGGATGTAAGGTTGGGTCAGAAATGAAAATAAATTTACAATAAAACTTTCAAAAGAAAACAAGAAGCACATTGGTTTGACCTCTCGTCCTCCATCTGTCCCAGTGGAGCTGGATTCTGACAACAGCTGCAGATAGTTGAGTAGAAAAATTGGAAAAAGAGCAGCATCAATTGAATAATATGGGATTAATTAAAACCAGTCGATATAATCCCTCTCTCTCTATAATGTTTGTGCATCTGTACAGTGAACGTGTGTTCAGACAGCCAATGTCCCAACTGTACAGAGGTTAGCTGTAAGCTAACGACCAACAGACACACTGACTGTGTGTTTGTGTTCAGCTCAGCCTCTGAATGAACTCCAGTTCTTCTTTTTCTTTTCTCCTCTTTGTCTCTGGACCTTCATGAGGCAGATTCATAAAGCTCTGGGATAATTACAAACTTACAGCTCCAGTTGAGAAACTTTCAACCTGCCATTTCCTTCAACTTTGTACGTAGTCACACTGCCTCTAAAACTCACCTCACAGTCAGGTTTCCATGTGTTTCATTGTTGTTGACTGAATCCCTGAATTGGTGCAGTTTATATTTGCAGTTGTCAGTTGTGCAGAGTCAGAATGTAAGATTCTGATGTTTAAAATCTTTGGTGAAAGAATCCAAATCAAATTTCTGTTGGATTAAATTGTTACAGTTGTCACATACTGGTTGAACTGGTCATCTCCCAGTGTGACTCTGTGGATCTGGAAATGTGAAACAAATCAGGCTTCGAAATCTTACAGGAAGATAGTAACTATTGATTGTTCATCTTTCCAACAGCACTGTGGGATGGAAACATTCGTCTAATCAATGCAGAAATCCTGGTCCGTACAGGAAGTGAAGGAGGAAACATCACAGTTAAATGCTCCTTCTCTTTCTCTGGAAGCAGGAAGATCTTCTGTAAGAGAGAATGTGAAGGAAAAGACATTCTCATTGAAACAAATGAGAACAGAGCTCAGAGTGGCAGATACAGCATTGAATATAAAGAAGGATTTTATCCAAAATATCTTACACTTCTGAATGTGAGCATCACAAATCTGACTAAGTCTGACTCGGGGCGGTACAGATGTTGGTTGGACAGAACTTTGATAGATTCAACCGAGGACTTTGAGCTCAGAGTTGAAGATGGTGAGTTTCTACTGAGAGTCATGAAATGAAGTGTTCACTGACAGCTGCTGATGTTTCTAATAACCCAACATGTTTAGTCTAACAATTATATTTGGAGCTGCATATTTCCATCATTGTGAACACTGATAAATGCTCCTTTAAAAGCAACAGTTCATCTGTAAAATATCTGATCAACTCAAACTGTCACACAAATGGACACACTGCAGTTGATTTGAATATTGTTGCAGCAAACACATTGATGACCTCCTGCATTTAGCTGTATGATTAAAACTACATTGATACATTGACTGTTTGCAGAGAATTTGTGTTATTTCAATGAAATGTTACCACAGAGTTCTTTGTATCTGTACAATCAGTATCTGATTGTTTCATTGTGTTTTTCATGTTTCACAGCTCCAACCGCTTCAAAACCAAAGAGGAAAACCACCACCAAAGCACCTTTTACACCATCAGTCCCATCAGCCTCCACACTGACAACAACACAGAGTTTAAGCTCCAGTTCAGGAAGCTCCACACCTTCATCATCCTCCCCTGAAACCACCAACCAGCCTGAACAGCAACAGAGAGCTGCAGGTCCAGGTACATTTACAGCATTCAACAAAACCTTGTTTGTGAATATGTATGTACTGTAGGTATGCAGATATATGAATGTGTATGCTTGTCTGTGGAACTAATGTTCACTGTTGGTTTGAGTTAGTTTTGTTCAGTCCAATTATTCAAATAGCATACAAACATAAAACAAACATCAGATTAAACATTCACAGGTTTACTGCTGTATGTGAGTCTGACTCTGGTCGTCATGATCATCGTATTATCAGCGGCTGTGCTAATATTCTGCAGGAAGAGGGCCAGTAAACCCAAAGGTGAGACTGCAGGAAACACACACACACACACACACACACACACACACACACACACACACACACACAACAAAGGCAACTGACCATCTAAAACTTAATTTTCTCGCAAATTTCTTGCATTTACCAGCTTTCACATGTGATACAAATATAAATAAAATATAAAACTTTGGTATGTTTAACACATGATGTGTAATTTGATCTTAAACCTTAAAGTTTTTGCACTGGGGCAAATGTAATGTACCACCATTATAAAAGAGATGTAGGTAAAACTGTGGACAGGACACCCAAACAAACAATGTCAATTATCACCCTTTGTGTTATGATTTTTAAAGCATGGACATTTTTCTCAGAGCTGTATGTGTCTCTTTGACTAAACCTGCCCGGTTGAATTAACCACTTTCAGTTCAAGGCTTAAGTTTGTTTTGTTTTTATTGTTGTTCTCCTTGAATATGGAAAGCACAAACACATAATTTTTGTGAAATGAACCGTAGATGAAGTAATGAGTAATATGAAAATACTAATACTAATATAGTGACACTGACAGGAGTCGACAAAAACTGGTGAGTTTCAGTAAAATTATATATTTTTTCTCAGAACCTCCTGTGGAAACTGAGTATGCTAATGTGACAGAGGTGAGTTTGAGTACATTTGGGATATTTCAGTGTCATTAGTGTTTGTGACAGCAGCTGATATTAATACAAACAGACCCCTGTTCTCTTCCTGCAGGCCAACAGAGTGTATGAGGAGATCAGAGAGGAGGACAGACAGAGCAGATCTCCTCCTGCAGAAATATCTACAGTTTACACTTACGCCAAATACTCCAAACCAAATGCAGTTGAAACCACAGATGAGTACAGCCTTATCACTGCAGCTGGTCCCCAGAACAAAGTGAGTAAAAACTATGGTCAGATTTTAGGATTTAGGCTCAAAACACATTTAGGCTACATCTACTAATATAACTTGACATGGTAATAATTTTTACACATTTCACAAAAGCTGTTTCTCTGTCTCACATCCAAATATGGCTGATGTACAATTGAGTTTTTAAATAGTTGTCCTTTGTTGTTTGGATCCAGGCTTTGTGCCATATAAAGGCAGCAAGTGAACATTTTGTCCTTAGGGTTTATGTGTTAGTAGCAGGAAAAATGGGCAGCGTGATGATCTGAGCGACTTTGACAAGGGCCACATTGTGATGGACGACTGGGTCAGAGCATCTCCAAACCTGCAGCTCTTGTGGGGTGTTCCCGGTCTGCAGAGGTCAGTACCTATCAAAAGTGGGTCCAAGGAAGGAAAAGAACCGCAGACAGGGTCATGGGCGGCAAAGGCCCATTGATGCACGTGGGGAGTGAAGGCTGGCCCGTGTGGTCCAATCCAACAGACGAGCTACTGTAGCTCAAACTGCTGAAACAGTTAATGCTGGTTCTGATAGAAAGGAGTCAGAACACACAGTGCAGAGCAGTCTGTTGGTTTGGGGCAGAGTAGCTGTAGACCAGTCACGATGCCCATGCTGACCTCTGTCCACTGCTGAAAGCACCTGTAACGGGCACGTGAGCATCAGAACCGGAAGAATGTGGTCTGGTCTGATGAATCACGTTTTCTTAAATCTTTCGGATTCACTTACCTGGGGAACACATGGCACCAGAATGCACTATGGGAAGAAGGAAAGCCGGCAGAGGCAGTGTGATGCTTTGGGCGATGTTTGCTGGGAAACCTTGGGACCATGTGGCTGTTACTTTGACACGTACCACCTACCTCAGCATTGTTGCAGACCACGTACACTCTTTCATGGAAACTGTATTCCCTGATGGCAGTGGCCTCTTTCAGCAGGATAATGTGCTATGTCACACAGTAAAAATGGTTCAGGAACAATTTGAGGAACACAACAACGAGTCCCAGATCTCAATCCAATCGAGCATCTGTGGGATGTGCTGGAGAAACAAGTCCGATCCATGGAGGCCCGACCTCACAACTTACAGGACTTAAAGGATCTACTGCTAACGTGTTGGTGCCAGATACCACAGCACACCTTCAGAGGTCTAGTGGGGTCCATGCCTCAATGGGTCAGGACTGTTTTGGCAGCAAAAGATGGACTAGTTCAATATGAAACAAAAATAAATATATCTATTTATGTTCAGTTTGTTCATCAAGAGAGAAAAGTAACCATAAAATAAAAGCTTCCAGTTGCTATTGAGACTAAAACAGTCAGTAAGTGATAACCTTTGACCTCTGATTGTTTTCTTCCAGACTGAAGACGACCTGAGTAAACTCACCTACTCTGAGGTGGATTTCTCCAACGGTGCAGCTGCCTCGCTCCACAGCGCCCCCCGTGGTGATGCAGATAACGTGGTCTACTCTGTGCCTCGGGTTGCAGCGAGCAGCCACGCCGAAGACACTTCCCCTCCTCTGTACTCTACTGTTAGTTTGCATCAGCTGTAGCTCCAACGCTGTCGACGCCACATTGACTCTCTCAGTGGTCAACAGGTGAACACACAGTGGTTTGAAGGACTCACATTCACACACAAATCTGTTTGTTAGCTCCTTATACTGCTTCTACTTTAAGTTAAGCTTCTCTTAAATATATATTTTTAAAGATATTAATGTATTAAAGTTCAGGTGAAATAAAGTATTTAATTTTAACCCTTTAATATTGCATCCTCAGTTATTTTGTTCCCGTATTTAACTTTTATTTACTGATCAAAATGTTCCCACCAGGAGTTGAAATATGGACATTTTGAATTTGGGGAATGTCAGGAATGGATGCAGCATCCCCACTAACCCCTAATATCATTAAAATATTGTCTTCTGAATTTCAATGTCAGTTATTGTGCCTGCAGAACTGAAGAAATCTGAAGGAATATTACATCTGAACATTGACACCAACGACATTGAGCTCTCTTGATTCTTAAATGCAGGTCCAATATATTAATCTTATAAATAACCTCAGAATTGGTTCAAAGTTCATCAAAATCCACAAACTGAGAGATGAAATATGGCCACCTCTTCTTTAAACACTGTCTACTGTTTACTTCATAAGATAAAGATTATTTTTTATTTACAATGATTGTCACTGTGATAAGTTGCCTTCAAACCCATCGATCTGTTACATAAACTGAACTTCCTGGATGGTATTAAGTCTCCCTCCCTCCCTGTCACTTGTTTTATGAAATAGGACATATAATAGGACTCAACAATAGACACAAATGATTGAATAAGATGGAGACTTTTTGCAGTGGAGATGGAAATATGGCATTAATGCTGCTGTAAGTTACAATCAGACCCAGTTTTTATGTAAAATCATACATTACATAATAATGAGGGGTGGAGAGGTCTGTGTGTGTGTGTGTGGGTGTGTGTGCTGTTTGGAGGAGGGACTCCATCATTTAGAGAAGTGAGGAGTTCCTGGTTTGTCAGTGAAGACGGAAGAGAGGCAGCGATAAACCATCAGAGCCTCCAACATGAAAGTCTATCACACTTTGATCTGCTTCTTCTTCCTCTGTGAGTACACTCTCCTTCTCTATCACTCTGTCTTCCTGCTGTATGATCTTTATTGATTTATTATTGATTCATCTTAACTTCATTTTCACTGTTGCAGCTGTGGGAAACTGTTTCTCATGAGTGAACTCTTGATAAACTGTTGTTGGTTTCTGTGGTTAAACATGACAGCCTATTTGGTGAAAAGTACTAAGCCGGCCTATTGTTCATGTGTCTGTTGTTCTGCTGTTCTTGTTTTATATGTAACAAAATGCATTGCAGTTGTTTTTTGTTGTATTTTGAGTGTAACAGAGGAATATGTTCAGCCTGACTGTAGCTGAGTTTGTCGTAGCAAGACAGGAAACTACTTATCTACACCTATTATTATAGAAAGGACCGAAGGAAGGTTGTGAAAGGGGGAGGGGAGCAAATAGATGCTTTCACTTTTTTTTTCTATGTATTTATTAATATTTACTTTGATAGATGTTTGAGATACCACTCGTCTTTACTTCTTCAGAAAAGGTGTAGCCCCACCCCTATATCTTTTATATATCTTTATAAAAACTTTATCAAAGGAAATTAATTATCTAATAGTTTTTTGCAGATAAAATAAATAAATAAAAATCCGCAAGTGGTTTTTTTCCAGAAATGTACACATAGATTGAACACACAGTTACACATATGACTCATCAAACATCATGACAATTCTGTCCCATTACACACTCTGGATTCAGATCTCAGTTAGCGGCACACAGTCTGCCACAGGTCGGTGCTGTAGTACTCGAGTATGGTCCAGATGTTTTTTCTTTTTCAGATTTGTCTCAGACTTGTCATTGGTCTCGCCAAATATTCTAGTTGGTCTTGACAAAATAAGATAAGGTAAGATACGATAAGATATACCTTTATTAATCCTCCGTAGGAGAAATTCAAGTTCCACACAGCAGCATTGGGGAATATAATGCAAAAAGAGTACAATCTTATCACGGACAAGAACATTACAAAATATAAAAGAATATTTTAATCAGCTTGACTAAAAAACTAAACTTAAATATGCAATTTAAGATAAATAATACAAGTTTGGTTGAATTTAAAACCAGTCTAAGTCTGCGGGGGTTGGAGTTACTGGGTGCTGTGGTTGAAGAGGTTGGAGGTACTGGGTGCTGTGGTACAATGGTACTGATGGCTGATGGTACAAATGAGCCTCCAAACTTCTTTTAGGCTCGGGGCTGGATCAGTCTGTGGCTGAAAGTGCTCCTGAGCTGCCTGAGCTCAGGGTAGAGAGGATGAGAGGTGTTGTGCATGATGGCTTTCAGCTTCCCTCTCATCCTCTTCTCAGCCACAGCCTCCACACTGTCCAGCTCCATCCCCACCACCGAGCTGGCCTTCATCACCAGCTTGTTCAGCTTGTTGGCACCATAAGTCCCAATGCCTCCTCCCCAGCAAACAACAGCGAAGAAGATGACACTGGCCACTACAGACTGGTAGAACGTCTGTAGTAGCCGAGTGCACAATACGATTACAGGATTACAGTTCTATTTCTTTCATTGCATGTGACAGTTTGTTCACATTTTATTCCCCATGTTTCCACCTACCATCACAGACTACTGGAGACATTTTACATATGAAAACCTCATTTCACATGCAAAGAAGCAATTAAATACAATTTTCATGCAACAAATAGGAAGTTTAACCACTTAAGTAGTTCATCTAATTTCACTCTTTCCAACAGTATCACTTATCTATCAGATTCTCTAGGGTTTTACACTGTACTCAACCAAAGACTGCAGGAGTTTGGATGTAAGGTTGGGTCAGAAATGAAAATAAATTTACAATAAAACTTTCAAAAGAAAACAAGAAGCACATTGGTTTGACCTCTCGTCCTCCATCTGTCCCAGTGGAGCTGGATTCTGACAACAGCTGCAGATAGTTGAGTAGAAAAAGCAAACCTGGAAAAAGAGCAGCATCAATTGAATAATATGGGATTAATTAAAACCAGTCGATATAATCCCTCTCTCTCTATAATGTTTGTGCATCTGTACAGTGAACGTGTGTTCAGACAGCCAATGTCCCAACTGTACAGAGGTTAGCTGTAAGCTAACGACCAACAGACACACTGACTGTGTGTTTGTGTTCAGCTCAGCCTCTGAATGAACTCCAGTTCTTCTTTTTCTTTTCTCCTCTTTGTCTCTGGACCTTCATGAGGCAGATTCATAAAGCTCTGGGATAATTACAAACTTACAGCTCCAGTTGAGAAACTTTCAACCTGCCATTTCCTTCAACTTTGTACGAAGTCACACTGCCTCTAAAACTCACCTCACAGTCAGGTTTCCATGTGTTTCATTGTTGTTGACTGAATCCCTGAATTGGTGCAGTTTATGTTTTCAGTTGTCAGTTGTGCAGAGTCAGAATGTAAGATTCTGATGTTTAAAATCTTTGGTGAAAGAATCCAAATCAAATTTCTGTTGGCTTAAATTGTTACAGTTGTCACATACTGGTTGAACTGGTCATCTCCCAGTGTGACTCTGTGGAAATGTGTAACAAATCAGGCTTCAAAATCTTACAGGAAGATAGTAACTATTGATTGTTCATCTTTCCAACAGCACTGCAGGATGGAAACATTCGTCTAATCAATGCAGAAATCCCAGTCCGTACAGGAAGTAAAGGAGGAAACATCACAGTTAAATGCTCCTTCTCTTTCTCTGGAAGCAGGAAGATCTTCTGTAAGAGAGAATGTGAAGGAAAAGACATTCTCATTGAAACATATAATAACAGAGCTCAGAGTGGCAGATACAGCATTGAATATAAAGAAGGAACTTTTCCAGCATCTAAAACAATTCTGTATGTGAGCATCACAAAGCTGACTAAGTCTGACTCGGGGCGGTACAGATGTTGGTTGGACAGAGCTGTGTTTAAAGATTCAACCAGGGACTTTGAGCTCAGAGTTGAAGATGGTGAGTTTCTACTGAGAGTCATGAAATGAAGTGTTCACTGACAGCTGCTGATGTTTCTAATAACCCAACATGTTTAGTCTAACAATTATATTTGGAGCTGCATATTTCCATCATTGTGAACACTGATAAATGCTCCTTTAAAAGCAACAGTTCATCTGTAAAATATCTGATCAACTCAAACTGTCACACAAATGGACACACTGCAGTTGATTTGAATATTGTTGCAGCAAACACATTGATGACCTCCTGCATTTAGCTGTATGATTAAAACTACATTGATACATTGACTGTTTGCAGAGAATTTGTGTTATTTCAATGAAATGTTACCACAGAGTTCTTTGTATCTGTACAATCAGTATCTGATTGTTTCATTGTGTTTTTCATGTTTCACAGCTCCAACCACTTCAAAACCAAAGAGGAAAACCACCACCAAAGCACCTTTTACACCATCAGTCCCATCAGCCTCCACACCGACAACAACACAGACATCAGCTGCAGGTCCAGGTACATTTACAGCATTCAACAAAACCTTGTTTGTGAATATGTATGTACTGTAGGTATGCAAATATATGAATGTGTAATCTTGTCTGTGTGGAACTAATGTTCACTGTTGGTTTGAGTTACTTTTGTTCAGTCCAGTTATTCAACTAACATACGAACATAAAACAAACATCAGATTAAACATTCACAGGTTTACTGCTGTATGTGAGTCTGACTCTGGTCGTCATGATCGTCGTATTATCAGCGGCTGTGCTGATATTCTGCAGGAAGAGGACCAGTAAACCCAAAGGTGAGGCTGCAGGAAACACACACACACACACACACACACACACACACACACACACACACACACACACACACACACACACACACACACACACACACACACACACACAACAAAGGCAACTGACCATCTAAAACTTAATTTTCCCGCAAATTTTTTGCATTTACCAGCTTTCACATGTGATACAAATATAAATAAAATATAAAACTTTGGTATGTTTAACACATGATGTGTAATTTGATCTTATACCTTAAAGTTTCTGCACTGGGGCAAATGTAATGTACCACCATTATAAAAGAGATGTAGGTAAAACTGTGGACAGGACACCCAAACAGCAAACAATTTCAATTATCACCCTTTGTGTTATGATTTTTAAAGCATGGACATTTTTCTCAGAGCTGTATGTGTCTCTTTGACTAAACCTGCCTGGTTGCATTAACCACCTTCAGTTCAAGGCTTAAGTTTGTTTTGTTTTTATTGTTGTTCTCCTTGAATATGGAAAGCACAAACACATCATTTTTGTGAAATGAACCGTAGATTAAGTAATGAGTAATATAAAAATACTAATACTAATAAAGTGACACTGACAGGAGTCGACAAAAACTGGTGAGTTTCAGTAAAATTATATTTTGTTTTTCAGAACCTCCTGTGGAAACTGAGTATGCTAATGTGACAGAGGTGAGTTTGAGTACATTTGGGATATTTCAGTGTCATTAGTGTTTGTGACAGCAGCTGATATTAATACAAACAAACCCCTGTTCTCTTCCAGCAGACCAACAGAGTGTATGAGGAGATCAGAGAGGAGGACAAACAGAGCAGATCTCCTCCTGCAGAAATATCTACAGTTTACACTTACGCCAAATACTCCAAACCAAATGCAGTTGAAACCACAGATGAGTACAGCCTTATCACTGCAGCCGGTCCCCAGAACCAAGTGAGTAAAAACTATGGTCAGATTTTAGGATTTAGGCTCAAAACACATTTAGGCTATTTCCACAAATATAACTTGACATGGTAATAATTTTTACACATTTCACAAAAGCTGTTTCTCTGTCTCACATCCAAATATGGCTGATGTACAATTAAGTTTTTAAATAGTTGTCCTTTGTTGTTTGGATCCAGGCTTTGTGCCATATAAAGGCAGCAAGTGAACATTTTGTCCTTAGGGCTTATGTGTTAGTAGCAGGAAAAATGGGCAGCGTGACGATCTGAGCGACTTTGACAAGAACAGCATTGTGATGGACGACTGGGTCAGAGCATCTCCAAACCTGCAGCTCTTGTGGGGTGTTCCCGGTCTGCAGAGGTCAGTACCTATCAAAAGTGGGTCCAAGGAAGGAAAAGAACCGGAGACAGGGTCATGGGCGGCAAAGGCCCATTGATGCACGTGGGGAGTGAAGGCTGGCCCGTGTGGTTCGATCCAACAGACGAGCTACTGTAGCTCAAACTGCTGAAACAGTTAATGCTGGTTCTGATAGAAAGGAGTCAGAACACACAGTGCAGAGCAGTCTGTTGGTTTGGGGCAGAGTAGCTGTAGACCAGTCACGATGCCCATGCTGACCTCTGTCCACTGCTGAAAGCACCTGTAACGGGCACGTGAGCATCAGAACCGGAAGAATGTGGTCTGGTCTGATGAATCACGTTTTCTTAAATCTTTTGGATTCACTTACCTGGGGAACACATGGCACCAGAATGCACTATGGGAAGAAGGAAAGCTGGTGGAGGCAGTGTGATGCTTTGGGCGATGTTTGCTGGGAAACCTTGGGACCATGTGGATGTTACTTTGACACGTACCACCTACCTCAGCATTGTTGCAGACCACGTACACTCTTTCATGGAAACTGTATTCCCTGATGGCAGTGGCCTCTTTCAGCAGGATAATGTGCTATGTCACACAGTAAAAATGGTTCAGGAACAGTTTGAGGAACACAACAACGAGTCCCAGATCTCAATCCAATCGAACATCTGTGGGATGTGCTGGAGAAACAAGTCCGATCCATGGAGGCCAGACCTCACAACTTACAGGACTTAAAGGATCTACTGCTAACGTGTTGGTGCCAGATACCACAGCACACCTTCAGAGGTCTAGTGGGGTCCATGCCTGAAATGGGTCAGGGCTGTATGGCAGCAAAAGATGGACTAGTTCAATATCAAACAAAAATAAATATATCTATTTATGTTCAGTTTGTTCATCAAGAGAGATAACCAGTAAGTCAGTAAGTGATAACCTTTGACCTCTGATTGTTTTCTTCCAGACTGAAGACTACCTGAGTAAACTCACCTACTCTGAGGTGGATTTCTCCAACGGTGCAGCTGCCTCGCTCCACAGCGCCCCCCGTGGTGATGCAGATAACGTGGTCTACTCTGTGCCTCGGGTTGCAGCGAGCAGCCACGCCGAAGACGCTTCCCCTCCTCTGTACTCTACTGTTAGTTTGCATCAGCTGTAGCTCCAACGCTGTCGACGCCACATTGACTCTCTCAGTGGTCAACAGGTGAACACACAGTGGTTTGAAGGACTCACATTCACACACAAATCTGTTTGTTAGCTCCTTTTACTGCTTCTACTTTAAGTTAAGATTCTCTTGAATATTTTTTTAAAGATATTAATGTATTATTAAAGTTCAGGTGAAATAAAATATTTAATTTTAACCCTTTAATATTGCATCCTCAGTTATTTTGTACCCGTATTTAACTTTATTTTAATGTTCCCACCAGGAGTTGAAATATGGACATTTTGAATTTGGGGAATGTCAGGAATGGATGCAGCATCCCCACTAACCCCTAATATCATTAAAATATTGTCTTCTGAATTTCAATGTCAGTTATTGTGCCTGCAGAACTGAAGAAATCTGAAGGAATATTACGTCTGAACATTGACACCAACGACATTGAGCTCTCTTGATTCTTAAATGCAGGTCCAATATATTAATCTTATAAATAACCTCAGAATTGGTTCAAAGTTCATCAAAATCCACCAACTGGGAGTTGAAATATGGCCACCTCTTCTTTAAACACTGTCTACTGTTTACCTCATGATCCTACGACTAAAGATAAAGATTATTTTTTATTTACAATGATTGTCACTGTGATAAGTTGCCTTCAAACCCATCGATCTGTTACATAAACTGAGCTTCCTGGATCGTATTAAGTCTCCCTCCCTCCCTGTCACTTGTTTTATGAAATAGGACATATAATAGGACTCAACAATAGACACAAATGATTGAATAAGATGGAGACTTTTTGCAGTGGAGATGAAAATATGGCATTAATGCTGCTGTAAGTTACAATCAGACCCAGTTTTTATGTAAAATCACACATTACATAATAATGAGGGTTGGAGAGGTCTGTGTGTGTGTGTGGGTGTGTGCTGTTTGGAGGAGGGACTCCATCATTTAGAGAAGTGAGGAGTTCCTGGTTTGTCAGTGAAGACAGAAGAGAGGCAGCGATAAACCATCAGAGCCTCCAACATGAAAGTCTGTCACACTTTGATCTGCTTCTTCTTCCTCTGTGAGTACACTCTCCTTCTCTATCACTCTGTCTTCCTGCTGTATTGATCTTTATTGATTTATTATTCATTCAACTTAATTTCATTTTCACTGTTGCAGCTGTGGGAAACTGTTTCTCATGAGTGAACTCTTGATTAACTGTTGTTGGTTTCTGTGGTCAAACATGACAGCCTACTTAGTGAAAAGTACTAAGCCGGCCTATTGTTCATGTGTCTGTTGTTCTGCTGTTCTTGTTTTATATGTAACAAAATGCATTGCAGAGGTTTTTTGTTGTATTTTGACTGTAACAGAGGAATATGTTCAGCCTGACTGTAGCTGAGTTTGTCGTAGCAAGACAGGAAACTACTTATCTACACCTATCATTATAGAAAGGACCAAAGGAAGGTTGTGAAAGGGGGAGGGGAGCAAATAGATGCTTTCACTTCTTCTTTTCTATATATGTATTAAAATTTAAGATGTTTGAGTTGCCACTCGCTGATTGTCTGTGCTGCTTCAAAAAAGGTGTAGCCCCACCCCTATACCTTTTATATATCTTCATAAAAACTTTATCAAAGAAAATTAATTATCTAATAGTTTTTTGCAGATAAAATAAATAAATAAAAATCATACAAATTCATCAATTTTGCATCTTTCCAACAGCACTGCAGGATGGAAACATTCGTCTAATCAATGCAGAAATCCTCGTCCATACAGGAACTGAAGGAGGAAACATCACAGTTAAATGCTCCTTCTCTTCGTCTGGAAGAAGGAAGATCTTCTGTAAGAGAAAATGTAAAGGAAAAGACATTCTCATTGAAACAAATGAGGACAGAGCTCAGAGTGGCAGATACAGCATTGAATATGAAGAAAGAACTGATGGATCTGCACTTTTGTATGTGAGCATCACAAACCTGACTAAGTCTGACTTGGGGCGGTACAGATGTTGGTTGGACATAAAATGGTCACGAGATTTAACCGAGGACTTTGAGCTCAGAGTTGAAGATGGTGAGTTTCTACTGAGAGTCATGAAATGAAGTGTTCACTGACAGCTGCTGATGTTTCTAATAACCCAACATGTTTAGTCTAACAATTATATTTGGAGCTGCATATTTCCATCATTGTGAACACTGATAAATGCTCCTTTAAAAGCAACAGTTCATCTGTAAAATATCTGATCAACTCAAACTGTCACACAAATGGACACACTGCAGTTGATTTGAATATTGTTGCAGCAAACACATTGATGACCTCCTGCATTTAGCTGTATGATTAAAACTACATTGATACATTGACTGTTTGCAGAGAATTTGTGTTATTTCAATGAAATGTTACCACAGAGTTCTTTGTATCTGTACAATCAGTATCTGATTGTTTCATTGTGTTTTTTATTTACAGCTCCAACCACTTCAAAACCAAAGAGGAAAACCACCACCAAAGCACCTTTTACACCATCAGTCCCATCAGCCTCCACACCGACAACAACACAGAGTTTAAGCTCCAGTTCAGGAAGCTCCACACCTTCATCATCCTCCCCTGAAACCACCAACCAGCCTGAACAGCAACAGAGAGCTGCAGGTCCAGGTACATTTACAGCATTCAACAAAACCTTGTTTGTGAATATGTATGTACTGTAGGTATGCAAATATATGAATGTGTAATCTTGTCTGTGTGGAACTAATGTTCACTGTTGGTTTGAGTTACTTTTGTTCAGTCCAATTATTCAACTAACATACAAACATAAAACAAACATCAGATTAAACATTCACAGGTTTACTGCTGTATGTGAGTCTGACTCTGGTCGTCATGATCGTCGTATTATCAGCGGCTGTGCTGATATTCTGCAGGAAGAGGGCCAGTAAACCCAAAGGTGAGACTGCAGGAAACACACAAACTCAAAAAAGGCAACTGACCACCTAAAACTTAATTTTCTCGCAAATGTCTCGCCTCTACCAGCTTTCATATATGATACAAATATAAAAAAATAAATAACAAACTTTGGTATGTTTAACACATGATGTGTAATTTGACCTTAAACCTTAAAGTTTCTGCACTGGGGCAAATGTAATGTACCACCATTATAAAAGAGATGTAGGTAAAACTGTTGACAGGACACCCAAACAGCAAACAATGTCAATTATCACCCTTTGTGTTATGATTTTTAAAGCATGGACATTTTTCTCAGAGCTGTATGTGTCTCTTTGACTAAACCTGCCCGGTTGCATTAACCACCTTCAGTTCAAGACTTAAGTTTGTTTTGTTTTTATTGTTGTTCTCCTTGAATATGGAAAGCACAAACACATCATTTTTGTGAAATGAACCGTAGATGAAGTAATGAGTAATATGAAAATACTAATACTAATAAAGTGACACTGACAGGAGTCGACAAAAACTGGTGAGTTTCAGTAAAATTATATTTGGTTTTTCAGAACCTCCTGTGGAAACTGAGTATGCT